AACTGAAAAGCAAGAAACTCTTGCTTCTAACTCGCCCGAGTGGTGAGAGCTTCAGACAGACTGGCTTTGAAGCAAGCCCAGAGCGATGCCGAGCCAAGAGAGGTTCAGTTTTATATAAGTTTTGCTCCAGACAGGCTTCTTAGGTAGCCCTAGCTGGGCTGCATCTCTATGTGGACAAAGCTCGTCCAGAATTTAGAGAGCTCCGCCCGTTTGTGCCTCCCGAGTTCTGAGCTCAAAGACGGTTGCCGCTGCCTGGACAAGTTTTCCCAGGGATGCGTGCCAGCGTATCTGCCACCTTGGCACCTTCACCGTTTTCCAGGGAGGAGAGATGTGACATGGCTCTTGTCTTTTCCAGTGTGCCCTGGGGGGGTCGAAGATTTATAAACGAATATGAGTTAATAGCGGCCTTTTCTAGTCGGCCTTTTTGATTCGAAAACGTGGTACTTGCCGAGCAAGCTTTTAGATTTAAGGGTGAATTGATATTGAGGGCACATGCAAAGCAGTTAGATGTTGGTCAGCTTTAAGTAAAACACTAATAGAGTAGTTTATTGCCATCACCTGACAAAAGTTTACAGTAGTAGTTCTGATTCAAGCCAATAGAAACTTGATGTTTAGTATGGAGAATGTTAACAATGATAGTCGACCAGGGAATTAATTAATTAATTAATTAATTTAGAGGTAGGGCCTTATATAGCTCAGATTGGCCCTGAACTCCAGCCAGAGATGATCTTGAACTCATCTGCATTTTTATAAAGAGTGCTGGGACTACAGTTTTAGATACCACATCTAGCCTTGGGATGAATATTTCAAATCTCAGTTTGTTATGGATCTTAAAGGTTAATAGTGAAGTATGCTTGGCAAATAAACAACAAATAAAAATGTTCACTCCTTTTGTTACTGTAGCTGAATCATTATTTAAAGACCACTTGGTACTCTTCCTCAATAATTCCTTTTGGTTTTATGTATTCCCACTGTTTGTCATTTGTCAACTGCACCTCTATAGTCAAAGTTGGACCTTAGAAAACTTATATTTATTTGTGTGCATGCCTTGGTGTTTGTGTGGAGGTTAGAAGACAACTTGCAGGTTTCCAGGATTAAAGTCAGGTTGTCAGTCTTGGTGCCAAGCATCTTCACTAAGTCATTTATTTCATTGGCCCAATTTTATTGAGACTCGGTTTCAGAGTTTCACTCTAGCCCATACTGGAGCTCACTGTGTAATGTAAGCCAGCCTTGAACTCATGGCAGTTCTTTTGTCTCAGCTTCCTAAGGAATGAGATTGATTGACTGTAGGGAATGAGTTACCAGGCCTGGCCACATGGCTGTATATATCTGTAGAGTAGGTAATGTATATTTTTTTTTCTGTTAAGCTTGTCTTCCAAACATTCAGTTCTCTTCCCAGAGCCAATCAGGAAAACTCAGTTTAAATATATTTCAGTGAAGAATTTAAATTATCAACTCCACACCCAATCTCTCCTGCAAGAATTAGCCATGCCTTTGGTGCCATTTTGCTTTGAATTTAGGAGGATGGTCTTATTGAGCAGCTCTTACTTGTCTAGCATAAGGAAACCTAGACATAATTTCTTTCTCCTAGAGCTCACACGTTGGTAGCTAAGACAGATAGTAAATAAGTAAATGAATCAGTGAGAATGCCAGAGACAGTGAATGTAGCACTGTGTAGCAGATGAAACAGAGTAATAGTATGGGTAGGCAGAGGGCAGGAGTCTGGTAGAGTTAGCATGGTCAAGTAGGTGATGAGTGACTTAGATCATAAGAAATAGTTAAGGGAAGGGCAGAGGAAGAACATTTTAGTTGAAAAGGAGCACAGTATAAAGTGGGGAAAAGCTTGAATACTGAGGGATAGGATGCTTAGTCTGAACAGTATAATTGATGGGAAAGTGGAAAGATAAAATACGCTCCTGATCAATATGCAGCTCATGGAATATGATCACTTAGCCTGGCCTGTGTGATTTGGGATACAAACTTTTTTGTGTTAGTGCTAGATGAGTGATAGTCTTTGAAGCTGGACCACAGTTTTCAGCAAAGGTAAATTTGTGAGTTCAGAGGTTTACTTTTCCACATTGGTAAAGTGAAATAGTATCACTACTTTAAAGGAATTCTTATAACAACCAAATAAGATAAAAAAGATGAAAAAGAAGTGCTGGGAAGGTTGTAGAGAAAATGGAACCCTTGCTCATTGTTTTTGGTAATGGTAGTACTGCCAGTACAGAAAACAGTATGGTAGGGCAATGAAATGGCTGAGCAGGTAAAGTCCTTGCCATATAAGTCCAAGGACCAGAGTTCAATCCCTGGAGCCTATGGAAAGTAGAAGGAGAGGGCCAACTTCATAAGCTGTCTTTTGGTTGGTACACACATATCCCAAAGTATGGAGATTTCTAAAAATAAAAAAAATCAAAACACTATAGAACTACCCTGTAATCCTGCTATACCACTGTTGGGTATACATATCCAAAGGAATTGTAATCAGTATGTTGAAGAGACATCTGTAGGATGTTTATTGCAGCACCATTTAGCACCATTCATGATAGCCAATAAATGGAAACAATCTAAATGTCCTTCAACTGATAAATGGATAAAACAGTGTCGCGCATTCAATATAATAGTAATCAGCCATAAAAAGAATGAAAATACAACATTTTCAGCAACATGGATGAAGTTAGACATCATATTGAGTGAAATAAGCCAGGCATAGAAAGATAAACACTTCAAGGTCTTGAGGGCTCGTTTATAACAACTACAACAAAAAGTTGATACTGGCAGAATTGAATAGAGGTTACCAGAGGTGGATGAGAATGGTTGGAGGAAGGGATTAAGAAAAGTTAATCAATGGGTACTAAGTTACAGTTAGGTGGCTTTAAAATTCTTCATTAAATTCTGTGTCAATGTTGGCTGATGATTCTGCATTTATATCTTTATATTCTCTAATAGTGGAATGGTGTTTGTCAAGGCATGCCTAACTGCACTTAATGCTGTAAATTAATATAAAAGAACATGTCATCCCATTTTAGACTTTGGAATTTGAATTTAGAATTTATATAATACAATGAAAATTGCTTCATCGTCCATTTTATAAAATAATTTGCTCCTGTTTCTTTTTAGAAATGTTATGAGCAGAAGCAGTACAAAAATGGCCTCAAGTTTTGCAAGATGATTCTTTCAAACCCGAAATTTGCTGAACATGGAGGTACTGTCTCAAATGTTGAAATGTTGCTTTGGGGGAATTTAACTCTAAAATCAGGCAGGACTTGGAGTAAAGGAATACTCAGATTCTAAGGCTGTGACTCTATTGAAAGCATAAACGTTCAGCATTTTTTTTGAATCTTATGTTGAGCTAGTTTTACGATTTAGTGTATGCAGTGTCTTTTAGATGAGAAAATTGATCTGCTGAGGGACAATTGGATGAGGTAATGTGCATGTTAATAACCCTTCCTTCCTTCCTTCCTTCCTTCCTTTCTTTCTTTCTTCCTTTCTTCCTTCCTTTCTTTTTTTCTTTCTTTGTTAATATCCTTTTCTGAAGTACTTCAGATAGTAGAGGTTTTCAGGTTTTGGATTAATTGCTTACATTAGCAGCTGAACATCCCAATTCAAAAAACCTGAAATCTTAGTTTCATATGATTTGGAGCATTTAGGATTTGGGACTTTTGGATTAGGAATGCTCAGTTTTTTGTTTTTGTTTTTTTTAAGATTTTATTTATTTATTATGTATACAACATTTTGCTTCCATGTGTATCTGCACACCAGAAGAGGGCACCAGATCTCATAATGGATGGTTGTGAGCCACCATGTGGTTGCTGGGAATTCAACTCAGGACCTCTGGAAGAGCAGTCAGTGCTCTTAACCTCTGAGCCATCTCTCCAGCCCAGGAATGCTCAGTTTTTTTAGATAGATTTGTCCATCACTTTGACTAGACTACAGTTTCTTACTTTAGTTGCCTGTATATGAAATTAGGCTGTTGGGGAGCTCATGGACCCCAGACTGATAGCTGGGAAACCAGCATAGGGCCGACCCAGACCCCTTGAATGTGGGTGTCAGTTAGGGGGCCTGGGCAGTCTATAGGGCCTCTGGCAGTGGATCAGTATTTTATCCCTAGTTCATGAATGGTCTTTGGGAGCCCATTTCACACAGAGTAGTACTCTCTCAGCCTAGACACATGGGGGAGGGTCTAGGCCCTGCTCCAAATGATATGACAGACTTTGGTGATTCCCCCATGGAAGGCCTCACCCTCCCTGGGGAGCAGAAAGGGGATGGGATAGGGAGTGGGGAGGGGACAGGGGAGGAGGGGAGGGAGAGGGAACAGGAATTGACATGTAAAACAAGATTGTTTCTAGTTTAAATAAAAAAAGAAACTAAAAATAAAATTAGGCTGTTATTTGCAGTATAGAATTGTGTGAAGATGGATTTTATTCCTTGATACCATTTTTTTAAACGTATTTCCTTATTTTTTAATGTTTGTTTATCATGTGTAAGTATGTGTGCTGGTTGTATGTATTCCACAGTACATGTATGGAGGTCAAAGGACAACTTCTGAGGATTCTCTTCTACCATGTGGGTACTGTGGATTGAACTCAGGTTGTCACACTTGGTGGCAATAAGTCATCTAGCTGGCCCTTATTGCCCCTCCCTCCCTTCCTCCCTCCCTTCCTCCCTCCTTTTCTTCCTTCCTTTTTTTGAGACAGGGTTTCTCCGTAGCTTGGAGCCTGTCCTGGAACTTGCTCAGTAGACCAGGCTGGCCTTGAACTCACAGAGATTTGCTTGCCTCTGTCTCCCTAGTGCTGGGTTTAAAGGTGTGTGCCACCAGTGCCTGGTTTATTGCCTCATCTTTATATAAATATGTTACTATTGATCCATCATTATGTTGTTGACTTTTTTTTGGGTTATTGTTCCTAATAAAGTCTACACTTCTTCATCCTACTGGTAGGCATTGTTTGTTGAAGGATCAGGTTAGACTTGCAGAATATAACCCATAATATAACATAGCTAATTAAGGTCTTTCAGAGCACTAGGCTTGGAGAACTTCTAAAATCATTGAATTAGGAAAATGGGCTAATAATATAAGTAAGTTTTCATTTTACGAAGTTTTATTTTAGAAAATGAAAGCTGTTTGGCAATGGGACCACTGTGTTGTTGAAAGTATAGTCTACAGAGAACATTTTGAAAATTACTGTTATTATCTAATTCTTTTGTAGATTTTTCAGAGAAATATTTTATTGTAAACCATCTTTCATTAACTTCCTAACACTTTCTTGGGTTGCTCTTCTGTGGTCCCGTGTTATGCTCTCCAAATACAAACTAATGTTAACTAGCCTAAATAGAATTGTTGAAATAAATTTGTTGACAAAAATAATCTGCTCAATATTGAATATGGTGGTAATGATCACAACTTGTATCTTTAATTAACTAGACTCATGATTTTTGTGAGGTATGAACTAGATTATGATTGGTTAGAATTGGTCTCAGTGGGATGGTGCAATAACTTAGTGGGCATGGTGCTTGCTGAGTGGTTTCAAAGACTTTTGTTCACATATCCAGAACCCTTATAAAAGTCAGCCGTGAAAATGGGGGTCTGAAATCCTTTTGCCTCCACAGAGAGATGGGAGGTGGAGATGGGAGAATCCTGGAAGCTCATGGACTAGGTAGTCTGGTAAAAAGCAAAGAGACCTTGCCTTAAAGAAGGTGAACATCGAGGAACAACTTCTGAGGTTGTTCTCTGACTCCAAATGCCTGACATGCATTCAGCCTGCACGCACACACATAAACACATACTGACATATGCAAAAGTGATTTGGTCTTGTGAAAATGTGGAACTACTGTAGTAAATTTAATTCAGGAGGACTCAGATACCTGCTTTGTTAATTTTTTAGCAACTCTATTCCAGTCTAAGGCATTTTAGAATGGACTTATGTTATTGAATATGGTGCTAATCATTAGAGTGTATATCTTTATTTAGGTAGTCACTCTTTTTGTGAGGTTTAAGTTAGATTATGATAGGTTAAAATTTATTTCAGTGGGGTAGAGATGCTTCAAGCAAACATGTAACGATGATTTTACTTTTCGTACCTTTGTGGTGAAGATAAAAATGCTGGGGCAATAGCACTTTATTTTTTGTTGTTGTTTGTTTGGTTGGTTTTTTTTTTTTTTTTTTTTTTTTCAAGCCAGAGTCTCTCTGTGTGACTCTGGCTGTCCTGGAACTAGATCTGTAGAGCAGACTGGTCTCAAACTCAGATCCTCCTGCCTCTGCTTCCTGAGTGCTGGGATTAAAAGCATGTACCACCACTGTAATAGTAGTGCTTTAGATCTCATAACATAGTGCTGGGAGAATAACTTGAATTTCTCATTTATAAACAGAGTTTAAAATTATTTTTCAGAGACTTTGGCTATGAAAGGACTAACGCTAAACTGTTTAGGAAAACGAGAAGAAGCATATGAATTTGTTCGTAAAGGACTTCGAAGTGATGTCAGGAGTCATGTCTGTATCCTTTTGCCATAGTTTTGCAATATCATTTGTATTTTCATTTATTTGTCTTTTCTCATTCACATTTTACAAGTTTTCTGTGAAAGAAAATTCTTAGGTATTTTAATGAAGGTCTATACTCATTATTCATTGTCTGTAATTAACATTTTGTTCCCTAATCCTTTTTTGTATATTTTAAAGAAAATCTTCATGGAGAGAGAGAGACCAGTTCTTTCCTTAAACTACAGTTCTTTCCTTAAACATTAGTTTACTGATACTTCTCCATTTCAAATAGTGATTTTTAGTTATTTAATCTATATGAATAAATATACATGTCTTTAATTTCCTTTTAAAAGTTTTAGATGAAATTTTAAATTGAAAAGAAACCTATTTTAAAAGAAGTTTGGCTGGACCTGTGGCTTGAGAGCACCTGCTCAGTGTCTGCAACGCACCCTGGGTATGGCCCCTGGCACTGGAAAGCTGACAGATGGAAATCAGGTTCTAATTTGTGTCAGGAAAAACTGGTTCTTTAGTTTGATCTCTGTTAACAGAGACTTAGCTATTGCTTCACTGAGTCTTTAAAACTATATTTTTCATTGGATAGTATTTCAATATGTAAACAAATATAAAAAACTTTTAAAAGATTGTTGAAAATTTTTCATTTTTTCCCATGTTTATGTTTAGTCTTTTCCCATAATGCCCTGTGTATCTGACATTTAATTCATTTAGCAGCTGGCTAGTATTCATTTAGACATGCATAGACTCCCTATTTACATATACTTAACTTAGGGGGTCTCTCAAAGTACTAAATGCTTATTTTCTTACCCAGTGCTTACCCCAAAGTGAAGAGAGAGGCTATGTAAGTATAGTAGTTTTTAGTTTTGGCATTTTTCCCCCTAAGATAAACTAAGGGAATACAGCTTAATCTTGTGTTTTTTAATATCACTTGTGAATTAAATGGTGGTTATATTGCTTGAATAAATATAAACTGATTTTAGAAGAAAATCACAATTTTTATAAAAGTGAATTTTGAGATGTTTAGTTAAAAGTGCAAGAGGATAGAGTGTAGAAAAATGTTATGAATTTTTGCCAGGAATTTTCTAAAAGTTATTTACAAATATGGTAAATTACAAGCATCTACAAAATGGAAGAAATCAAGTGTTGAACCACTATGTCCCTATCACCCAGCTTGAACAGTCAAGGCTTGGCTGGTTTCATATTTGCCTATTTCTCACTGATTTCCCTCTTGTCTCCAGATCATTTTGAAACAAATTACAGATAAAATACTGTTGATGTTGTTGCACAGTATATTGTAGTGTCTGTGAATGTCTGCATTTCCTTAACTTAATAGGTTGGCATGTATACGGCCTCCTGCAGCGTTCGGATAAGAAGTATGATGAAGCTATTAAGTGTTACCGAAATGCACTCAAATTAGATAAAGATAATTTGCAAATCTTGAGGGATCTCTCTCTATTACAGATTCAGATGAGAGACCTTGAAGGCTATCGAGTAAGTAGTTTTTTGTTTTTTGGTTTTTTTTTTTTGATTTTTTGAGACAGGGTTTCTCTGTGTAGCTTTGGAGCCTATCCTGGCACTTGCTCTGGAGACCAGGCTGGCCTCGAACTCACAGAGATCCGCCTGCCTCTGCCTCCTGAGTGCTGGGATTAAAGGTGTGCGCCACCAACGTCCGGCTGAGTAAGTAGTTTTTAAATGTACTGTTTTTAAATACAAAGGTTAATTTTTTTTTTAAGTGATGGGATTAAAGGTGTGTGCTACCATACTTGGCATAAAGATTAAATTTTTAAAAACATGTGACTTTAGAATGAAGTAAGACTAAGGCAAGATAGTGTGCATTTGATTTGTTAAAATCTATAGTGGAAGAGGAAAGCCACTTGGACCTTCTTACAATAAAAGTTATCCTGTTTGAGCATTAAACAAAGCTAAATTGGGGTGGTTCAGTGGATAAAGACACTTGCCACCAAGCCTGATGACCTGAATTCCATCACTCAGACCTACACTGTGAAAGGAGAGAACAGACTTGTGAAAGTTGTCTTCTGACTTCCACATGTGTGCTATGGCACATGCACACTTGCTTATGTACACACACAATTTTAAAAGAATTGATTATCTTGGTGTGCAAGGATTATACTATTATCTTTTTGGGTTTTTTGTTTTGTTTCGTTTTTTTGTTTTTTTGAGACAGGGTTTCTCTGTGTAGCTTTGGAGCCTATATTAGCACTCACTCTGGAGACCAGGCTGGCCTCGAACTCACAGAGATCTGCCTGCCTCTGCCTCCCGAGTGTTGGGATTAAAGGCGTGCGCCACCAACGCCCAGCTTTTTGGTTGGAACATTGTTGGTGCACTGAATGTAGCTTTGACATTCAGCTTTATTGAAATCTAAACATTAGTTAGCCCTTTTTATAGGTTAGCAAATATAAAGTAATGTGGAAAAGATTGCCGTGCAAAGGTTTCATGTTTTTTTTAAAGATGCATTTTTCTTTTTAGTTATATGGTATTGTGTCTATGTGTGTGTGTTTGTGCATATGTATGTTTAGGTATCTGTGGAGGCTAGAAGAGGGCATTGGATTTCCTGGATTTAATGTTATCTAGTGTTACAGACTGTTGTGAGTTGCCCAATGTGGGCACTGGGAACTGAACTTGGGTCTTCTGCAGAAGCGGTGTGTGCCCTTAGCCACTGAGCTATTGCTTTAGCTCAATAAAGAAATCTTTGTACAGTTCAGATTTTAAAAGATTTAAAGGGTGTACCATCATGTCTGGCTCCCTTAGTTTGTTCGTTCGTTCGTTCGTTCGTTCCTTCCTTCCTTCCTTCCTTCCTTCCTTCCTTCCATCCCTCCCTCCCTCCTTCCTTCCTTCCTAAATATGGAATGCTTCATGAATTTGCATGTTATCCTTGCACAGGGGCGATGCTAATCTTCTCTGTATCATTCTAATTTTTTAGTATATGTGCTGCCAAAGCGAGCGTGTCCTTAGATTATTATGTAAAGGAACTATGAACTGTGAGCAGTTCTCTTTTGCCCTCTTCCTGCCATTTACATGCTTACACCTAAGCCCATATTTCGCCAGATTCCAGGGCTTTGCTAGACTTGATGACATCACTTTTCAAAGTGTGTGTTTGTTGTCTTCAGCAGTGCTCGGGTGTGATGGGAATAATTTTCTTGGGACTGGAGAGATGGCTTGGTGATTAAGAGCATTTGTTGTTTTGTAAAGGACCTTTGGGTTCGATTCCCAGCACATGCACATAGTGTTTCACACTTGACTGAAACTGCAGATCTAGGGCATCTTGTGCTCTCTTCTGGCCCCTGCAGGTATATATGTAGTAAGTATATACACATACAGGCAAAGACCTATAATATTATAAAAATTTAAAAAAAAAACCTGAACAATTTATTTATCTTCAGGGATGAGGCATAGAAATTAAGAATATTGGCAGGACAATGGCTGTTGAACTGGCTTATGAGATAGAGTAAGTTAAGAGAGCAGATTGTAAAAGCAAAGTCACTGTGGAACTAGAGATACTAGGTGTCTTGTTAAGGTGATTATTGCTGTAATGAAACACCATGACCAAAGCAACTTGGGGAGGAAAGGGTTTATTTGGCTCACACTTCCACATTACTGTTCATCATTGAAAAAAGTAAGGAAAGGAACTCACACAGAGCAGATACAGAGGCCATGGAGGGGCGCTGCTTACTGGCTTGCTTCTCATGATTTGTGTAGCCTACTTTCTTATAGAACCTAGGATGGCACCACCCACAATGGGCTGGTCCCTCCCCCATTAATTACTAATTAAGAAAATGGCCTGCAGACTTGCCTACAGCCAGATCTTATGGAGGCATTTTCTTAATTGTGGTTCCCTTCTCTCAGATGACTTTAGCTTGTGTCAAGTTGACATAAAACTGTTCACACTGATGATGTCAAAGAGCAAAAGTAGAGATGAAGTGTTACCGGGTTGAAATGTTGGAAGCAGAGAAGCAGTGGCTAGAGAATGAGATACCTGAATTTGATTTCTGGGTTAGCTAAAGTTTTAGCGGGGTGTGGATGTGCCACTGGGACCCTGAAATGGGTAGAGATCATTGAAAGTAGGAAATTCTGCAGCTAAAAAGATGGGCTATTAGATTAGTAACTATTAATAACTTGCCCATATCAGTATTGAATTTGCCAGAGGAAAAAATCTGACTCTCTATGTTAATGGAGTGAGTGACAGAGAAACAAGAGTGAAAGTAAGATCAAGTGATGTAACTTGATGTTCTTTAAGAAGGGACCAGACACAGCTGAGAGGACCTGAAAAGGATGGCCTTCCTTGGCTCCTCTTGCAGTCATGGAATAGACTCAACAAAGTTAAATAGACATTTTCTAGACGTCCTTATAGTTTACACTCTCCAAGCGACTCTGGGTCTGAAAGCAGAGGTGCTTGCTGAAAACACGTAAAACAATGTAAATAAGCTAATTTCCTATAGTTTGAAAAATCTAGTATAAAAAACTTAATTCTGTAAGATATTTTATCAGAAGACATTTTTATTATATGTAGATAGTTTTTACAAGGTACCAAAGACATGAGCCTCACAGTCTAGTTCATAGTGACAGCCTCGCATAGAGCATTATTACTAGGCATTAATGCTACTAATACAGAGACTTAATTTAGATGAGAAAGGTAACACACATTTTATCATGTTTTGAAACTCATACTTGTTTATTAAATTAATTACAGTGTCATTAAAGGTTATTAAAATTCAGACGAAATGTAGACATTTTAGATAAAGAATTTTTAAAGAGAAAAACATTTTTTCCCCAAAGGAGACAAGATACCAGCTTCTTCAGCTGCGCCCAACACAGCGTGCTTCCTGGATTGGATATGCCATTGCATACCATTTACTGAAAGATTATGATATGGCGCTAAAATTACTAGAAGAATTTAGACAAACACAGCAAGTAAGAACCTCACTTTTACATTTTCTTCTACTTTTATCTTTAAATTTCATAGTTACTTTGAAAAAAAATTTAATAGAAAAAGTGAAAATGTAGTCTTCATAATATAAAATAAACTAATATTTGGATCTATGGATAATAATAATTTTGAGGCCAGCCTAGTCTACAAATTGAATTCTAGGATAGCCAGGGTTGTTACATAGAGAAATGCTGTCTTCGAAAACAAAAGTAGGGGAGAAATGGGTTAATTTTGTCTCACAATTCCAGGATACAGTTTTATAGGAGGAAAGTCAAGGCAGCAAGAACTTGAGCAGCTAGGCACATCAATAGTCAAGAGCAGGAAGAAAATGAACACATGCATTTATGTCTTTAGCTTGCTTTTTTCACTCTGTATAGAGTAGGACTCCAAGCCTGGGGAAGGGGGGTCCTCTCACATCAATTGAGATAATCTCCCACAGACACACCCCAAGACTGATCTGATAAATAGTCCTGATTCTCCTGCTTCCACTTTCAAGTGCTGGCATTACAAGTGTATTCCACTGTGCCTTGCTTCACAGTATTTTCTTGAAGAAACTTTGTATAAAACTTTGCTAAACTCCTTTAAAAAAAAAAAGCTTTATTATATATACAGTGTTCGGCCTGTATGCAGAAGAGGGCACCAGATCTCATTACAGATGGCTGTGAGCCACCATGTGGTTGCTGGGAATTGAACTCAGGACCTCTGGAGGAGCAGCCAGTGCTCTTAACCTCTGAGACATCTCTCCAGCCCGCTAAACTCCTTTAATGGTTCTGTTTTTCCTTTAAATTTTTTTGGCAGATTTCTTAGGCTGTTACCCCATTTTTATATCTGGATATCAGATCTTTTCATCTCTTTTCTTGGCCATATACACCTATTTTACTTTAAAGGCAGAATTAATCATTTGTTAACCTATTTTTAACTGCTTCTGGATTAAGTCTGTGCAGATGGGTCCAGAGTAAAACATTAGAGATCTGTAACTAATTTATATAGTTACACAAATGAGGTGATTTGGTTGTTTTCTTCCAGGTTCCTCCTAACAAAATAGATTATGAATATAGTGAACTAATACTATATCAAAATCAAGTGATGAGAGAGGCAGATTTATTTCAAGAGTCTTTGGAACATATAGAAACATATGAGAAGCAGATATGTGATAAACTTTTGGTGGAAGAAATTAAGGGTAAGTTGACTTTTTTAATGGTGCTTTAAATTTTGTCTTAACATTTAAGTAATACTGTTTATTTGGTGACCATCTAAGTACTTGCTACTAAACCATTATTATTTAATCCACATGACATCCTTTTGATGAACTGGGGAGCTGTTGTCCTCTTGTTAATATATAGCACTTGTGATTTGGGTTTTTATTTCATTTAATGTGTATAGGTGTTTTGCCTGCATGTATGTTATGTGTACTGCGTGTATGCCTGGTGCCTTCAAAAGCTAGAAGAAGGTGTTTGATCTTCTGGAATTGGAGTTACTGATGGTTGTGAGCTGCCATGTGGGTGCTAGAAATTGAACCCAGGTCCCCTCCAAGGGTAGCACATCTCCCCAGCCTTTAGTTGATTTTTCTTTGTGTAATACTTGTTTTTCTTACTTTTAACTGTGTGTGTGTGTGTGTGTGTGTGTGTGTGTGTGTATCTGTGTATCTGTGTATCTGTGTATCTGTATGTAGGTATGTATATAGGTGAATGTAGCTGTCAGGGATGCAGGAGGCATTGGAATCCCTGAAGCTGGAATTATAGGTGGTTGTAAGCTGTTCACTATGGGTACTGGGCGCTAAGATTCTCTGCAAGAGCAATGCATGCTCTTAAGCACTAAGCCAGCTTTCTAGTACCTGACTTAGTATTCTATTGCAGTTAACATTAATATCAGTATTAACAACAACACTGTTTTTAAACTTATCAATAAAATGTAATTATTCAGTTTCTTGTTCCACTGTCTGTAAGTGATGGAAACAAAAGAAAAAGGCAATTATTTTTCCTTCCTGGTACGTTATTGCTATTTTTGTGATTAAATCTTAATACTGTCAGGCAGCTGTTTCTGGCTTTCTTTGTCTTATAGCATTAACAGAGTGCAGTCATTACAAAGTATGTAGGATAAAGTGACCTTGATTTCATTTAAAAAAAAACCAAAAAAACTTACCTGGGAGATAGTGGTGTGCACGCCTTTAATCCCAGCACTCAGAAGGCAGAAGCAGATGGATCTCTTCTGTGAGTTCTAGGGCAGCCTGGTCTACAGAGCAAGTTCTGGGACAGGCAAGGCTACACAGAGAAATCCTGTCTAGAAAACACATGAACACACACAAACACACACACAAACACATATACACAAATTCATTCTCTCTCTCTCTCTCTCTCTCTCTTTCTCTCTCCCCTCTCTCTTGTAGGTTGGTAGCAAAGACTTGGGGAACACTAATCTTGAATAAATAGCCAATTATCTCATAGAGGTGGACTATGATATTATTTTTCCAGTGAACCTTGTAGACTCATTTGATATTTAGACAGTTATATCATTTGTAATCATTAGCTAAGATCCTTTCAACAATTGTAAAAGTTAAGATTTTTACTTAATTGGTATGCCTGTGCATTTGCTCTGTGCATTCTCACAATATTTGTTTCATGGTGGTAGCAGATAACAGATGTTTATGGGAATGAGAATATGTTGTTGCCAGTTATATCTAGGAAAGGCAGGGAAGTTATTTGATTGGCTAATATGTAGCTGTGCAGGAGTTAGGGCATGTTTATTATTTCTCTGTTACCCAACAGTTATGTCTGTCCATTTTGTATCAGGTCTAATTACTTGCTCATGTTCACAAAGTTGGTATGTGTGAAGTAATTATACCTAGTTTAGTTTTATTTTGGAATTTGGTTATATAAAACAAAATATGAATAAATTATATTATGTATCACCTGCCCCAGTATGGTGAATGTTAAATAATATTATAAAGATACTCCAAAGCTTCATGAGTTTGTAATTGGTTCCTTGGGGAATAGGAAATAATTGGGAATAGGAATATATGTTATACACATTTAAGAAAAGTCTCTTTTACCTCAGTTTAAATGTACTTCCCATTGTATCTGTGGGTTTTAGTGGCTTACTTCCCAGATTCATATGCAATTTTTGTGACTTATTAAAAAGATTTGAACCTTAAAGATGACTCACATGTGAGCGTGGCTTAAGTTTCTTGCTGTGAAATAATGTTTAGTTATATAATTGTGCTGAGTTCATTTACACAATTTTAATGATCTAGAAAAGAAACTAAGAGGACAGTTAATACAGGAACTGTTAAAGGAAGTCACATTTAAATCTTACAGTAAGAAAGTTGGCCTATTCATTTGAATGACTTGCTAGTTGGATTTTACTGTTTAGGCTTTCATTATCTCCAGGAGGTTATAATATGTTATAATAAAAGATACTTTTTTATTTAAGAAGTTTATATATATATATATATATATATATATATATATATATATATGTATATTTAGGGAGTGGGAGAGAGACAAAAATGAATATGGTCATTTCTGAAGATAAACTATACATTAATCTATGTTTAGTTATATAAACTGTATATAACAAGGCCAAAGGAAAGCATGTAGAATTGGAGTTTTTGTAAAATACTCATTCACGATTAAGGCTTAGAGAATTCTTATGTCAGAAAACTAATGTTTAAGCAAAATGAATGTGATTTTAAACTTAATTTTAGGGGAAATGCTGCTGAAATTGGGAAGATTAAAAGAAGCCAGTGAAGTATTCAGAAACTTGATTGATCGGAATGCAGAAAATTGGTGTTATTATGAAGGTTTGGAAAAGGCATTGCAACTCCGTATGTAATGATTTTTCTCTTTTTCCTTAACTAGCTTTTGAAGTATGATAGAATGAAAGCTATAATCATCCTTAAGAATAGATAATTTTAGCATGAACAGTTGTTTTCCATGTAGTAAAGTTATAGATTAAATATGGGCATGAGTTGGGCAGTGGTGGCACACACCTTTAGTTCCAGCACTTGGGAGGCAGAGGCAGGTGGATCTCTGTGAGTTCCAGTCCAGCTGATCTACAGAGCAAGTTCTAGGACAGATTCCAAAGCTACAAAGAGAAAAAAAACTTGTGGGCATGAAAATTAACTAAAATACTTATACTTAATAATAATACTAATAGATGATTTTAAGTTTCTTTACCCATTTAAAATCTTTTTTATTTTTTATTCATATTAGGGTTTGTATTAGACTTCTCTAGAGGAACAGAACTGATAGAATGAGTATGTGTGTATGTATAAAGGGATTTATTAGAGTGGCTTACAAGCTGTGGTCCAGTGTTCAACAGTGGCTGTCTTCTGATAAAGTCCAGAAATCCAGTAGTTGTTCATGAGGCTAAATATTTCAGCTGGTCCTCAGTATACATCAGAATCCTGAAGGAATAGGCTCTAATTTCAGTGAAGGAAGGAGAGTGAGGGCCATTTAAAATCTTAACAAACAAGGCTAACTAGAGCCAGGCATGGTGATGCATGCCTGTAATCCCAGGAAGCTAAGGTAGGAGATTTATGAGTTCAAGGCCAGCCTGAGTTACATATTAAGACTCTGTTTAAAAAACAAATACAGGTCTGGGGAGAGGCCTCTGTATGTAAACTGCTTTCTAGGGAAGTATAAGTAAGGACCTGAGTTCAGATGTCCAGAACTCATGTAAATCCAGACTTAGTGATGTGCGTTTGTTGTCTCTTAAAGCTTGTGGGCCAGGTAGCCTGGTGTATCCAGCAGTGAGCAGTAGACCCTGTCACTAAACAAGGCAGAAGGTGAGGGCTGACACCAGAGATTGTCCTCTGGCCTCCATGCAGATGCCTGCACTTACATGTATGAACGTGCAGAAACAAACGTATATACACAACACAACACAACACAACACAACACAACACACACACACACACACACACACACACACACACACACACCCATAGAAAAGCTAGCTAGAGAGATGAAGAAAATGACTATTTCCTTTCTGGAAAGTGACAGTATTTAATATTATATTATGACATCATTACAGGTCTGTTATCCACAATCTTTAAATATAAGAATTGAGTGAAAGAACACTCAGAGGTTATATCGTGTAGAGCAACAATAGAAAAATCACTCTCTTAATTTCAGGCAAAGTCAATTTGTGTAGAATGGAAATAAGTACCTTGAAATTAGAAAACCATGACAATTTTCAGAGTATGATTCCAAATTTTCTCTAATATTTTCAGAATTAACTGTTTGCAGGACCAGTTGTTATTCCTAAAGTCATATATGTCTATATATATTATTTTATTTATTTATGTATTTATTGAGGCAAGGTCTTATAGCTTAGGCTGGCTTTGAACTTGGTAGGCAACAGATTGACCTTGAACTCCTGATTTTCCTCCTATACTAAGTGCTGGGATTATAGGCACACACCACCAGGCCCAACTTAATGTCTGAAATAGTTATAACATTTTTTATTTTCTTAAATACTACTTTTTAGGAAAGCAATTAAAATATTGACTAAATGTTGTTTGAAAAAACAAAGTAGAATTTGAATGTAGTCAGGTTGGAAATGTAAAATAACTATGACTTTTGTCTTTAAACTACTAGTTATTAACTATGTAGGTTACTTGACAAAAACAAGTTATAGAAAGGAAGGTTTGTTTTGGCTCACCATAGGCATGGGGGTGGGACAGTGACATGAAGCAGAGGTGATTTAATGCAGGTGTTTGGCTTGCTTTCTCCGTTTCTCACATTCTACCCTTGGATTCCAACCCATGGGACAAGCTACCCATATTCTGAATGGATCTTCCCTCTTCTGTTTAATCTCTTCAGACACTCCCTCAAAGTCAGACCCAGAAGTTCTGATTAGGTGATTCCAGATCCATTCAAGTTGACAGTGAAGGTTAACTACCACACTGACATAGCAATTAATAATAAAGTCCTTAAATGTTTTAGTAAAATAAGTACCATTTTTTACATTTTAAGGTGGTTGATAGTATAAAATGTTGATTTTAAAACTACTTAACACTACTCATCTTTTTAGATTCCTTGAGATGTTTTCCCCCCATGGTAACTTCTGGAGCTCCAACTTATGACTTCAAGTAGGACATTAAAACAGTATTGTCTTGACTTAATACTAATTTAACTACATATATAAGACTTGTTTTTTTTTTTTTTTTCTGGAATGCAACACAGAGTTATCTTGTTTTTAAAATACAGTTTGTTATTCTAAAACTAGGAACTTGAGAAGTTTTTAAAAAACATATAATTAGTAGCTTTCATTATGTATTTTAGGTAAAGATCCTTAGTACTCGGTGAAGTCTCTAAATTGTTAACAGAATGTGAAAAACCCATTTTTCAGATACCCCATTTTAAAAATCCAACCACATTGGTACTGCAAAGCATAGTACTGGGGGAAGGCATAAGTCTACACAAAAAGTCCCTCATTGACCTTTTGAACTACAGTCTTGTTTGTTTTCAAGACAGGGTTTCTCTGTGTAGCCCTGCCTGTTCTGGACCAGGTATAGACCAGGCTGGCCCCAAACTCACAGAGATCCACCTGCCTCTGCCTGCCGAGTGCTGGGTTTAAAGATGTGTGCCATCACTGCCTGGTTTACAATCTTTATAATTTTAATACACAAATAGCTCATTTACTGTGAAGATAGCTTGTTTGTATTAACTAAGGGTTATGTCTGTCTGTCTGTCTGTCTGTCTGTCTGTCTTCAGTATCTCGTTTTGTAGCCCTAGCTGTACTGGAACTCCTGTGTAGGCCAAGACTAACCATGAAATCAAAGATAGAAGCTGCTTCTGCCTCCTGAGTACTGGGATTAAAGGCGTATGCCACCATGTCTGGTGCTACGGATTATTCTTAAAATTACATTTTTTTGTGATCTGAATTGGGATTCACTTAAAACCTTATAATTTAAATAGTTTTGTTTACTTTACTTTTCCCTTAAAATATTATTATAAATAATCTGATTGCTTGTGCACAGTAGTGTCTATAAATTATGCAGGAATTACACTGATACTATTCTGGATGTAGTATGTCATTCTCATGTGGATTTTCTTTATGGTACTAAAAACATAAAGATTCTTGGATGGGAGTTATACTTCTATTATTTTATTTGGGAGAAATAATTTGACACTTTAAAAAAATCTGGATTTTTTAGATTGACCTATATTTTATGTATATGGATGTTTGTCTGCATGTATTTGTGAGTCATGTGTGTTCCTGGTACTCACAGAGACCAGAATAAGAAGTTTGATCCTCTAGATTATAATTACAGACAGTTGTAAATCACCGGGTGGGTGCTGGGAACTAAACCCAGGTCCTTTGCAAGAGTATCAAGTACTCTTAATGGCTGGGCCATCTGTCTACCCCCTAAAAAAAAATCTCTTATAATGATTTTTTTAATGGAGTTTCATTGAAGATTTTAGGTGTCAGAGCAGTTAAGAAATATAGTTCATTTTTAAATTAAAACACTTAACAACCACAATCCTAAAACTGTTTTTTAAGATTAATAGGTATTGTAGACTTTTAGGGGAGTCTCCATTACTTTGGAGTATTTTATAACATATATTATAAACAGTATGTTATAAAATGATTCTCTTTTTCATGGTTTGAGGGCTAAGGGATAGAAGAGAAATGCATCTTTGTCTGACTTGATGTAAGTGATTTGAAATGGAATTAGAATCCAGTGAAGAAAGGACTGTTGGGTTTCTCCTGGAGATATGGTTTAAAAGGATGATTTTAAGATGTGGTACATGGCTATTATCCTAGCACTTGGAAAGGCAGAGGCAGGTGGATCTCTGAATTCAAGGGTGAAAACACACACACACACACACACACCACGATGATGACACACAAAGGATGGTTTCCTGATTATAGTATTTTTACCAACACAGTTTTAAATGTAATTTTTGGCAAAATTGGGAGCAGCTTTGATTCTGATAATGTAATTTTTGGGTTAAAGTTTATTACTGTTTTGGATAATAATTATGACACTATAATCTTACAATATTTACTGACACTAGGCTCTTTAGATGAGAGGCTTCAGATTTACGAAGAAATTAGTAAGCAGCATCCCAGAGCAGTTTCACCAAGAAGATTGCCTTTGAATCTTGTCCCAGGTAATATTAGGATGTCTTTGGTAATTCTAATAATTCTTTTGAAATTAATGTGTATCACTCTTATTTTAAATGTTTCTTCATGTTCTAGTTTGTGTGTGTGTGTGTGTGTGTGTGTGTGTGTGTGTGTATGTATCTTATGAGTAAGAGTGATCAGTTTTATTGCAAGCCAATTTGTCATCAAGTCCACTGAAATACTATTGCTCACTACCAATCAAATGGCTGGCTAAGCCCAGTGTTGTAAAGGGGCTTGGAAATGCCATTTCTTCCTAACATGAAGCTATGTTAAGGCTGTAAAATGATGTCATGATGTATGAAGTGTTGTTGCAGGAATGGAGAAAGAATAGGGAACATGATACAGTCTGCCAACTGTATTGAGGGTGCTTTCATTATGGCTTAATCCAGTGTGTGTTTTGACTCCCTTGGTTTCTTTTGGTGAGTATTTCATTATTTGGTATATGATTTGGCATCCTCCAGTAAACTGACATGTCAGATAATATGAAACCAAATGTATACATGAAAGAGAGAATTGAGCACAAGATAAAGTTGTCAGATAGCATCAGTGGACAGTGATTTCCTTTGTACCTGAGTGTATCCAAATTCTGATTCATAAATCTCTGTAAAATTTCTATTCTCTCATCAAAGACATTGTAGGGAACATTGATCACTAATATAATATGATTATAGCAATCAATTTATAAAGAATACAACTTTTAGAATATAAAAAGTTATCAGTTATGAATTTTATTATATAGATAAGAATCATGCTTCAATATATAGTTCAATATTAATTTTAAATATTGTAAGCTATATGTACAAAAGATTTTCTTATGTGACTTAAAGAGGCAGTTATGTTTAGAAGATAAAATTTCTTAGAATTGACAAATTACAGATGAATTATTATAAGTTATGTGGTAATATTTTCAAGTTTTCTGTATTTTTAGGGTATATATTTCAAGGAAAGAGTTGTGAGCTCTTTGTGTCCTTCAGTGTTGGAGAAAAGAGCATCATTCCTCTGAAATCCTTAGTATCACTTTTTTTGTTTTTTGCTATGATAGAAATACCTGAGATGAATAGATGCAAAGTTTAGTTTAGTCCATGGTTCCATTGTTCCTAGACTTGTGTTGAAGCAGAATATTAGCTGTAGATGTGTATAGCTGTCAGATGGCAGGGATGAAATAGACAGTATTTATAGAGTGACTAATAGACCCCAGATACTGTTTACTACTCCACACTTGTTTGAGCTGTACCATAATGCTCTTGATTTCAATTGATGTAGTCTCAGTTTACATGAAGAAACTGGGCATACTGGATAGGTTATTTGTTCAAGGGTACACACAAAGTAGAAGTATGTACATTTTTCTAAGCAACAGCCTCTTACTGTTTACCATAATATTATTAATTCCTCTGTATGCCTGAGGAAGTACTGGGAAAATAGGATCTTTGAAACTACGTATGGTGTTAAGGAAATTGCTGATATAGATATGAATGTAAATGTTACTTTGTAGCTTTCAAAAGTTGAGTCCACAGGATTTCATAAGAGATTGGAAATCTAAAATCATTTTCATGATGCTGAATGATAATGCTTATGTGTGTTTTACTTAGTGTAGTCTGTTCAACCAGATAAGGAGTCTGCTTTGTTGGTTTGGGATTGCTGGGTTTTATTATACAATGTTGCTACTCATAAAGAAACCCAGGAAAACATTTAAATAATATGCTAGCTAATGATACCTTGGAAAAAAAGTTTTAAAAATCCACTTGAACATGTGTGTGAGTTGCATAGGGATGGCGGTGGGGTTGTCTGTGTGTATATGCCTCTGTGTGTGTGTATGTGTGTGTGTGTGTGTGTGTCAGAGGACAACTTGCTGGAGTGGGTTGTCTGTGTGTATATGCCTCTCTCTCTCTCTCTCTCTCTCTCTCTCTCTCTCTCTCTCTGTGTGTGTGTGTGTGTGTGTGTGTGTGTGTGTGTGTGTGTGTGTGTGTGTGTGTCAGAGGACAACTTGCTGGAGTTGGCTGTCTCCTTCCATGTGGGTTCCAGGATTGAATTTGGGTCATCAGGCTTGGCCCATGCACCTTTACCGATAGAGGAATCTTGGTGACTCCCATGTTTAAAAGTTGATTTCTTTCAGTATTTTCTTCCTCTCTCCTCTCTTCTTTTTTCTCCCTTTCATCATCTTCCTCTTCTGCTGTACACCCCTTCCCCTCTCCTCTTCTTGATGGGTCTCACACAATCCCATTCTGGTCTCCAACTGATTGTATGGTTAAGGATACCTGATTCTTTGTCCGTCACCTCTCTAGTGCTGGGGTTAGAAGCATTTGCTACCACATCTTGTTTACTGTGGTGCTGGGGATGGAATTTAGTGCCTTTGTGCATATCAGGGAAGTTCTTACTAATTGAACTACATCTCTATCCTCTTTTATGGTACCTAAAATAATGTTGGGGTGTAGTAGAGTACCTGATACATGATTGTGGAATGAACAAATGTTGAAATTGGCAGTACTACTTTATTGTTTAAGAAGATAGTTTGTCTGCTTCTTGAAGGTAGTGCCAGTAATAGTATATGTGGAAATGTTGTCAGTTGTCTTCATGGGTTGGAACAAGTCTTTGTCAGGTAGAGATTAGGAAGAATACCTGCTCTTATTATTATAATCAGGGTGGTTAGTAAATTGTCTAAAACTGCATAATCTTTTCATTGACCTGTCTCTGAAGTATTCTTTAAATGGAAATTAGGGGAAATGCCACCTGAAACATTGGTGTTATGCTTGTTATGTAACAAGATAGTGTTGACTTTGGTTGCAGAGTAGTTCTTCTGAAGGAGCTTTATCTGTTCAGTTATTTAAGAATTGATTCCATCAACCAAAGTTTGCTTTTGTCTCTAGGTAAAAAATTTAGAGAACTCATGGATAAGTTCCTGAGACCAAACTTCAGCAAAGGGTGTCCACCCCTGTTCACTACTTTGAAATCTTTGTATTCTAATACAGAAAAGGTAAGTTTGGCTTTTAATTAGTTATGTTATTATTACAGGAAGATTGCCCTGGACTGTGCTATGATTTAATTATTTTCTCTATTGTACCAATATTTGTCTTTTTGTTTGTTTGTTTTTTTCTGAAACACGGTTGTCTTTTTATCTAATAAACCAATACTATATACCAAAAGTATACTTATGCTTATATGCATGTAGTATAAGTGATATCAAAGGAATTACTGTGCTATGAAGTTTATAGCAAGGAAAAGCATTTTAAAACACTGAGATATGCCAAGCAGGCACACACCTTTAATTATAGCACTTGGGAGGCAGAGGCAGGCAGATCCTCTGAGTTTGAGGCCAACCTGGTCTATATAGAGAGTTCTAGGACAGCCAGGGCTACACAATGTAACCCTGTCTCAAAATGAAGCAAAATATATAAATAGGTAGGTAAAAGAGATATATAGTTGGATGTGATGGAATGTACTTCTAGTTCATAATCGCAACACTTGAGAGGCTGAGGCAGGAGAATTGTAATGAGTTTGAAGCCAGCTTGAGTTTCACAGTGAGTTCTAGGCTTTTTGTTTCTTTGTTTTGTTTTTTTCTTACAGTTATCATATTTTAGAGCTAGCTTAGCATGGATAGTTGAAAATAGTAAAATGCTCTGAGGTGTGGCTGGAGAGATGGCTCAGAGATTAAGAGCACTGGCTGCTCTTCCAGAGAACCAGGGTTCAATTCCCAGCAACCACATGGTGGCTTACGACCATCTATAATGAGATCTGGTGCCCTCTTGTGACATACAGGAATACATGTAGGCAGAACACTGTATGTGTGATTAAAAAAAAAAAAAAAACCTTTAAAGATTCCAATACAGTGTGGTATGATGTCTTTATGTGGGTGGGGTGGGATAGGAGTGGCTGGTGGGGAGCCATATGCAATTAGGTCAGTGAAGTATGAGGGACTAGTTTTAATTAATAGGTAAAGTCCTAATCGGGTATAATCGTTTTAGGAGTTGGGGAGATACCTCAGTCAGTATAGAACTTGCTGCACAAGTATCTCTGTAAAAAGTGGGGATATACTTGTAGTTCAGTGCTGGGAACATGGAGGTCCCTGGGGCTCACTGGCTACCCAGCCTAGCTTTAGTAACCAGGCCCAGGTTTTGGTGAAAGATCCTGTCTCAGCAGGGCTTATGCACAAACACATGCCACACATTCACCCTCTCTTAACATCTGCATACCTTTGTAAGTTAAGTATGGTAAAGAAACCACCTTTGTACTTAAGTCTTGGTTACTAATTTGAAAGATAAATAGATAAATAGAGCTTGATAGGAAAGCCAGGTGTTGTAGCACACACTTGAGTTCTTGTTGTTTGGGAGACAAGGCAGAGGGGGTTCACTTCAGCTCAGGATCTGAGCCTTAACTTGTGCAATATAGTGAACCCTCTCTCTAATAAAAAAGGGGGAAGGTTAATCAAGAGAAGTTTATACTTTTATTCCCAAGTATTGTTTTTTTATTTATTAAGGTCTAAAATTTTATGCTCAGTTGTTTTTATAGTCAATTTTTGAATACGTACCTCGTGCTAACTGATTGTGACACTGGAGCACCCTGTAGTCAGTTTTTGAAAGGCACTGTTGGATATTAAGATTTTCATCAAATCTTTCTCAGTTTATTTAGGTTTGACCCATATTTTACTTTAAGTAATACTTGTAGATAATAAAATGTTGAAATCAGATCAGTGGTTAGAACATCTGATTGGCTTATGAAGCCCTGAAGGTCCCACTCAAATCATTGTCACATCATAGCTGTTGGTGAGTTAATGATAGTCATCTCATGTTCCACTCATGGGCCTGGGGCATGTTCTGCTTGTGAATCACAGCTTGTTGGGAATTCTGACTCTGTAAGTTACTTGCTTGAGCTTGAATGACAAAGAGCATAGGTCAAAGGCCATGCTTTAGGAAGTTACCTCTTCAACAGACACAGTATTTTCTCAGGATGACTCTTAATGAAGTTTTAATAGAGCTTTGAATTTAATAATTAAAATATAATAGAGCCTCTTTAGTGCTAATCAAGTATAACTGCTTGGAGAAAATATTTAAAACAAAAGAAGATGGTTGAATTTGGAAGGTTGAAAGTTTGTGAAAAATGTAAGACATTGTGTTAGTTTCCATCAGCAATAACTAACTTCAGATCAGGAAAGGTTTATTTGGGTTCACAATTTAGGGGTTTGGTCTGTGGTTTCTTGGCTCTGTTGTGTTGGTCCTGTAGTAAAGATGAACACCTTGGTGAGGGGTGTGTGTAATAGAACAGACTTGATCACATTGTGGCAGGCAGGAATTAAAAAGGGAAAGAAAAGGGCTAGAATATCAACATACTCTGAAAGACATGCCTTGCTAATGACCTAACTTTCCTCCCACATAGGCCCATCCTAAAATTACTGCTGTCTCCCAGTAGTGGGAGTTAGGAATTACATTAGAGGATCTGAGTTTGTTCCCAGCACCTACATAAAAAGCCAGGCATGGCTGTACTTTCCCATAATCTTCTCAGTCCCACAGTGAAGCTCAATTGGTGAGCTTCTGGTTCACTTATTACCTGTCCAAAGGTAATAAGACAGAGAGTTACAGAAGAAGATGCCAGCTATCTTGTCCTGGCCCTGTGCACATGCACCTGCCACACACATACAACACACATCTCACACATACACAATTAGCTTTCAGTATATAACCAACGAAGAATGGACATTACAAGTTGATTTTCTGTATTACATATTATCTACTTGTTGTTACAGAAATAATAAATGAAATTGGTTCCTGTAACTAAGAAAAACTAAAATTAAAAAATATTTTTGTGTGTTTAAAGTGTGAGTACAGGTGTGTACATGCCAGGACACTCTTGTGAAGGTCAAAGGACAACTTTTGGGAGTTGGATCTCTTTTCACCATGAGTTCCAGGGATTGAGCTCAGGTCAATACTCTTGTGAGGCAAGTTCTGTCCCACTGAGCTGTCTTGCCAGCTCCAAATTGTAATTTTTGATAGAAAATTTCTCGAAAGTTAATTGGGCAAAATTCCATTATTTGTTTAATTCGTACATTAGAGGTAACTGAGATAAAATTTTAAGACTTAAGAACTGTGCCTAAGGAGCCCAGTTCCTGTTCGGTTCTGTGCATGTGAGTGTGTTCAGGAGTGTGTAGCAGGCTAGAAATTGATACAGAGTGTCTGTTTCAGCTGAGCCTCCAGCTGGCTAGTCACTGCTAGTCTAGCTAGCCAGCTTGCTCCAGCCATCTCCTGTTTCTGCCTCTCAAAGTACTGGGGTCACAGACAGTGACTGTTGCCTTTTAGGCATTTATGTGGGTGCTGAGGATCCAAACTCTGGTCTTCTTGCTGAGCAAGTGTTTTATCCATAGAGCCATCTCATGGCTCCTCAACCTCCAGTGTTAAGACTTTTTATTTAGATTTTGTGTGAAATTTCTCTTCTTTTGATTTTTTTTTTAAGTTGCTTTTAAAGTTCTGAAACTAGGGACTTTTTTATTCAGCAGTGCTTAATACTCCTTTATGAAGGATTATGGATAATTTAAGTGGATGTTTTGTTGTACTTGTTATTATTATTATTATTATTATTATTATTATTATTATTATTATAGTTAGGTTGTTTTGATTCACTCTCAGTATGTAGTCCTGGCTGTCCTGGAACTATGTAGACCAAGTTGACCTTGAATTTACAGAGGTCCTTCTGCCTCTGTTTACTGAGTGCTGAGATAAAGGCCTGCTCCACCACACCAGCTAGTTTGTTGTTTTTTTGATTATTTAAAATTGGTTCAGAAAGTATGCTTTACTCCAGAGCAGTAAACCTTATTTAAAACCTGTGTTTGGGGTCTGGGAAGATGGCTCAGCAGGTAATGGTGATGATGAACTGAGTTAGAGTCCTAGGATACACACGATAGAAGAGGAGGGGACTTTTGCAGCCTTCCCTGGTGCCTCCACGTGTGCTTTGATGTTCCTGGCTGTGGAAGGGAATACCAGTATACGAACACACACACACTAGATGTGAAAATTAAAAAAAAAAACAAAAAACAAAAAAAAACTGTTCTAGCTAGAGTGTTTACAGACTGTCACTAGATGGCAGTGTAGGTTAATGGAAAACAAAAATAATTGCCACCTACTTAAAACTATTTGAATGCTAAATTTCAGTTGCACATATTCTAAGAAAGATTAGTGGGAGGGTTATGATACATTAAAAGATGTCTGCTACCTTTAATTTTGTTTTATCCTTGCTTCTCAAACTCATGTATTTGTTAACTAGAGGGTTTGTAACCATAGATTATAGAGAACCAAAGTTTCTGATTCTGTCTAAAACTGTGAGTCTTGGGGGCTGGAGAGATGGCTCAGTGGTTATTTGCACTGCCTGTTCTTAGAGAAGACTTGGGTTTGGTTCCTTCAAGGGAATCAGTGCCTATTTCTGGACTCTGTGGACATCAGGCAAACATGTGGTGCACATACATCCATGCAATCAAACCCCCCCTCCTTTTGTTTTTAGAGACAGGGTTTCTCTGTCGCCTTGACTGTCTTGGAATTACCTCTGTAGATCAGGTTGGCCTCAAATTCAAGAGGTCCACTTGCCTTGGCTTCCCAGGTACTGTGATTAAAGGTGTGGTCCACCGTGCCTGGCTCAGACAAAACACTTTTACATAATATATCACTAGGGTTCCTGGCCAGTCTTGATGATGTTAATGAGCTAATGATCTATAGATTCCACCTTCAGAACTGTTCTTTTGAAAAACAATTACATTAATTTCCAGATCATGAGTTTGTTTGCTGTGTGTCTGTCTGTCTATCCTGTCTGAGCAAGGGTCTCACTAAATAGCCCTGGCTAGTCTAGAACTCAGTATATTAACAAGGCTGACCTGAAACAGAATTCTTCCTGTCTCTGCCTCTTAAGTGCTAAGATTAAAGGCATGTGCCACTTCACCCAGCCTCAGGAGTTTACTTAATCTTCAATTTTTTTTTTCTGAAAAATAGATGGTGATAAAATGGAGGGCTGTGGGCTAGAGAGATGGCTCAGCAGTCGAGAGCATGGATTGCTCTTCCAAAGGACCAGGGTTCAGTTCCCAGGACCTACATGCAGCTCATGTATGTCTATGGCTCCAGTTCCAGCAGATCTGACACCCTCACACAGGCATACATGCAGGCAAAACACCAGTGCACATAAAATAAAAATAAATTATTAAAAATAAAAAGTTGAGGCTGTTTTTTATTTATTTTGTTGATAGAAAATACCCATAACTATGGAATACAGTGTGCCACTTTGTAGACCAGGCTGTCCTTGAACTCACAGAGATCCACCTGCCTCTGCCTCTGCCTCCCAGGTTCCAGGGTTAAAGGTGTGCGACACCACTGCCTGGATAAGATTATCTATTTTTTATGTTTATGAATGTTTATGTATATGGATGCTTTGCCTGAATGTATTATCTGTGAGCCATGAACTGCCTGCCTCACACTTATGCCGGGAACTGAACTCGGGTCTTTTGGTAGAGCGGCCAGTGCTCTTGACTCCTGAGCCATCTCTCCTACCCCACTGAATGATTTTTTTTTTTTTTTATCAAACCTGTATCAGTAACTTATACAGAAATTTTAAAAAATTATTCTAATAATAAAATCCAAAGACACACTAATTTGATACTTAGAGCTTGAAGAATGGTGGCAGGAAAAACATTAAATGACTTTTTGCAATTAAACCATAATGTTGCTTAAAAGCAGAAAACTGTGTGTGTATAACAATACTATAACTCAGCGGGGCAGTGGTGGAGTACGTCTTTAATCCCAGCACTTGGGAAGCAGAGGCAGGTGGATCTCTGTGAGTTCAAGGCCAGCTTGGTCTACAGAGCAAGTTCCAGAACAGCCAGAGGTGTTACACAGAGAAACCCTATCTTGGAAAAAAAAAAATACTGTAATTCATTGTATAGTTGTCTGGAATCTCAGGCAAAGTGTTTTAGGTGGCGTTTGTTGCCATGTGCCGTGTAGTGACAAGTGCAGTGCAAAGCGTGCCTGTTACCTGCTGCCAGAAACACATAGTATTTATTCACTGTGTGTCTTATTTTGAATTAGTTTTTGGTCACTGCACACTCAACAATATATTACTAAACATTTTGAGTCTGCTATATTTGTGACTCCTGAGCCTGCAGCACACAGTTTAGAAGTGCTGTGCTAGAGCAGTAGATTACACTCTTTTTGACTGTTTTGGGAACTGCTACATCTTCCTGTCTGTTTTTGCACACACTTTTTTTTTTTTTTTTTTTTTGGTTGTTTGAGACAGGGTTTCCCTGTGGCTTTGGAGCCTGACCTGGAACTCGCTCTTGTAGACCAGGCTGGTCTCGAACTCACAGAGATCCGCCTGCCTCTGGGATTAAAGGCGTGCACCACCAACGCCACCTGTCTGTTTTTGGTGCCAGTTATATCCTTCTATCCTTCTATCCTTGTCACCCTTCTAGGCCTCTAGTGACAATAATTCTACTCCCATGAAGTCAACTTTTTAGATTCCACATCAGAGAAACCCACCTTTTGTTTTCCAAAACATGGACTCACTATGTAGCCCATGCTGGTCTCGAACTACCACCCTCCTGAGTGCCTAGATTAGGCTTGTGCATCCCCTCCTAGCATCAGAGTTTCTTTTTAAAATAGTGGTTCAGTAGGGCTAGTGCCACTTGCTTGTAATCCCAGCAGTTGGAAGGTTGAAAGAGAAGATTGCCTTGACTTTGAGGCCAGCTAGCCCTATATACCTAGACTCTGTCTTAAAAAGAAACCAAATCAAAGTTAATTAAAATACTGTTTTAAACTAAACTAAACTTGTCTTTCAAGAACCACTTTAGCCAGTTTCTGCTAATAACACATTTTCATCGAGTTGTGTTTGACTGTTTTCTGATTTTTTATTTCATGTATTTTATTATTTTATGTGTCTGGCTGTTTAAATTGCATGCATTTATATGTACTGTGTGTGTGTGCAGTGCTCTCAGAGGCCAGGAAAAGCGAACCAGATTCCCTGGAATTAGAGTCACAGACATTTGTGTACCACTGGGTGGGTGCTAGGAATTGGACAGAAGTCTGCTGAAAGAGTGCACTGGCTAGTGCTCTTAATTACCGAGTCATCTCCCCAACCCTAAACATGTGTTTTAATGAAGTCATTGTATGTAAATATTGTTCACATTCTCTTTTTTTCTGTTATACATTTTTCTACTCTTATATATAGTTTCTCCTAATTTCCCCATTGCCCTTTCCCCAATCTCTTCTTAAGATTTATTATTTTTAATTTGTGTATCTGTGCATGGGTTTGTACATGTGAGTGAGTGCAGATATCCCAGGAGGCCAGATGCATCAAATCCTCTGGTGCTGGAGTTATAGACAGTTGTGACATGGGTGCCAGCAACCAAATTTGGTCCTCTGGAAGAGTAGCAAGTACTGTTAATCACTGAACCATCTCTCCAGCCCCTGCCTGTCTGTTTTAAGTTGCTAATGAATTGTGCTGTGGCATGCAGCAACATATCAAAAATATGTAAGTTGTGGAAGCCTGAGAAGTGTTTTACTTTGGTAAAAGGCTGGGCAGTGTTATAGTTCCTGGCTTCACTGATGCTATTCTGTGACTTTGTATGGTACAGATTAATTTGGATTCAAAATTAAGATAAATTAAATTATATTGTCTTTTTTCTATTAAGTGGAATGGATGTAGAGGTTTCTTTCATAGCCTTGTCTACCAGAATCTGCTGGGGACTTTATGATTCATGGTCTATTCTTCACTGGCAGGAAAGTGAAGAGGTGTGGGGAAAGAAAATAAATTTAATTGTTTTGAAAATCAGAATATTTTAAAGTTCCAATTTTCATAAACTAGTCAATAGTGTTGTAGACCTTGTTTTATCAGTATTTAGATAAAGGAATTAGAAAGGAAGACCTCTAGTTGTATTAAGCACAGATTCTACTTCCTGTTCTTTACCAGGGTCATTAACATTAGTAAATAATATACAGTCATTTGAAAGTATTTTTTGTTTGTGTGTGTAGTGTTTGTACATGTTCCTGTGGGTTTGTACACCTGTGAATACAGGTGTGTATGTGTGTGTGTGTATGTGTGTAGGTAAAGGTCAGATGTTAATATCAGGTGTTTTCCTCAGTTACTCCATTTTACATTTTCAGATGAAAACTAGCTGAACCTGGAGCTCATTGATTTGTCTAAGCTGTTAGCCAGTGAGCGAGTTCCAGGAATCTTTCTGTCTCTACCCCATCAGCCTATGGTTATAGATACAAGCTATGCTGCTAGTGCCAGCTTTTCTGTGAGTGCTGGAGTTTGAGCTCAGGTCTTCATGTGTGTGACAAACACTTTACTGACTGAGCCATCATTTTTAATGTGCATCTTTTAAACTTGGAATCATTTCACTTAATTTTTTGGTCAGGAGTAACATTTTATAAAATCTAAATATTTATATAGTGCTTTATAGTTTTACAGAACAAAACAGGGAGACAAAAGGCAATTGTTCATGAATTATATAAGTGTAGTAATTTGTCCTTCACAAATGTCAGGATTCTGGGATTGGGGATCTAGCTCACTGGTGGAGTGCTTTGAAGACCCTGCGTTCACTGTGAAGGCCCAAGGTGGATTTGATCCTCATCTCTGGTGTTGGGGAAAGGATAATAACTCCAAAAACAAACTAAAAAACCACAGGCTTCTTGAGATGAGAATTTATTGAGCTATTTTTACTTTTTTTCTTCCTAAAACCATTAATAAACACAGTGGTACATTTTCTTTTTCTTGGTCCTCTAAAATATTCAGATTGGGAGGTAGGAGAAAATAGTAATTTGAAATGTATTGTTTTTATTGTTTTAGGGCTAGAGAGATGGTTTAGTGGTCGAGAGCACTTGCTGTTCTTTCTAAGGACCTGAGTTTGGCTCCCAGCATACATGTCAGGGAGCTCAAAAATCTCATCTAATTCCAATTTCAGGGCACTGGGTGCCCTATTTTGGCCTTCACAAGCACCTGCATACAAATTGCATACACACAGACTGACACACACATCATAAAAATAAAAAATAAATTGTTCCAATTAAATTAGCCCACAAATAAAAATACTTTCAGTGAAACATTTTTAAATTAAAAAAATATGTTTCTTTAACAGGTTTCAATAATCCAGGAACTTGTTACTAATTATGAAGCTTCTCTTAAAATGAATGGCTTTTTTAGCCCTTATGGTAAGTTTAAACTAGAATAAACTGGAATTTTGTTGCTCATTTCAATCAAATTTTAATCACAGAAATACTAGTTTACGTTTATTATGTGTGCGCTACATAAATAGCTACTTACTGGTTTTTGAATTAGTGAATGAAATGAGAGTAATTTCACTATTATTTAATTTAAAATTTCCATAATCTTTTTGACTGAGAGTTAGCCTTATTTATTTAACAAGAAAAAAATTTGAGAGGTTGAATGGCTTGCACAAGATTGAGTATTTAGTTAAATTAGAACCTTTTTTTTATTCTGAATCCCTAAATTCACTATTTTTTTACTCTTGAATTAACTTTTAATTATGTCTGTTTAGCCCTTTGATTCTCTGTGGGAACATATGTAAATGAACAGAATTTAGGAAATCTTTAAGAAATGTCTTTTGCTGAAAGCTCATTTGTTTTGTAGACTTTCCCATACTTTAGATTGGGTGACTGCTGTCTCGTGATATCACTGTGTGTTTTTCCTTGTCATTCCTAATTCACGTAACATCAGTGATTAATGTGATTAATAGATTAATAGATTTGAGATCTGTTTGGATACTTTATACATGGTACTTTGTGCTTGAGGTGCTCTGGTTGTCTCTCTGATGCTGTCATTAATGGGTCAGGGTTTCTTATGAGGCCCATGGGCCTGTTAAAAAGTTCCTCCTGGGCCCCCGACCTAATATTTTGCTAATCACTGAGTAGTATTCCCTGGATCCCTTATTTCATTCTTGCTCCCCATCTGTTAGCTGGGCAGAGCAGGCTATAGCTTGAACCCAGGGCCTCATGCATGCTAGATGAGTGTTATGTCACTAATTTATAACTCTAGTTTTGAAATTATTTAAAGAACCCTCCTTCATATACTTTGGCCTCCTGAATTAGATAGTATATGTGAAAGATAAATGTTTGATTCATTGGTCTTATTTGCATTTTCTCTAGTTACCATGACAAAACACCATGACCAAGGTAACTTATAAAATATAACAGAAAACAACAGATGTTTATTATGGGTTCATGGTTCCAGAGGGTTAGAATCCATGATCATCATGACAGGGAGAACAGGCAGACAGGCAGGCATGGTGCTGGAGCAGTAGCTGAACGTTTGTCTGGATCCACAAGCACAAGGCAGAAAGAGCTAGCTGGGAATGGCATGGACTTTGAAACCTTAAAGCCAGGTTCCAGTGTCACATCTCCTTTAACAAGGCCACACCTAATGATTTTCCAATAGTTCCACCAACTGGGGAACCAATCATTCAAATATATGAGTCTGTTAGGAGCCATTCCTATACAGATTACCACAGCTTTTTAATTTATGCTTTAGTGTATTTGCATTATTGTCTTGTTTGCTTAGTTGGTTATATATACTAGGAGATCTGTTGATGTAATGCAGGCAGTTCACTCTGCGTCACTGTAAGCATGTCTGCCATTCTGCAGTCCATTTTGATAGCTTCTTTAGTATAAGATTGGAAGCAGAATAGAGCTCAGATAATGTATGTTTTTGGCTGCTTTTGTTAGCTGACTTTGGGCTGTGTACCCTAATCTTAGATTGTGGTCTATCAGGGATATTGTTGTCTCATTGGGGTATATTATTTGATTATATCCTTCTTCACTTTGATGATGCTCTGCTCTGGCTATATTAAAGCTTATAATATGCTAATTGAGACAGTTACGTACTCATGCGGTAACCCCAGTGAACTTGGAACTTACTCCTTTGCTTCTGTTGTCATATTTTCTAGAAGTATGTATCTTGCATATGTGGGCAATGCATAATGATGTAGCAGGTTTTTGCTTCTGTTGGTGTCGTGCAACGATAATCTCTTCTCCATGTTACTTTCTCTGATTATTTTTTTCTGGTTCACTGCATTTTGCTTTTGTCTTGAGAACTCATAGAATTAGATAGATTGTTCTTCTCTAGCACTGTTTATTTGGAGGTAGTTTGGGGTTAGAAGCCTGTTAAACTACAATTTTATGTCTCTGCATGGCTATTACCTTTTGGACCTGATGCCATAGAGTCATGTCTCTTTCTGTTAGGCTGATCATTTTTTGCTCTTAATAGTAATAGTTGATTTCATTCTGAATTAGGGAGATAAAGCATGTAGGTTTGCTTTACTTACCATTTTTCTTATAATATTTAATATTTGTTTGATTGCAGAGAATGGGGAAAAGGAACCCCCAACAACTCTACTCTGGGTTCAGTATTTCCTGGCACAGCACTTTGATAAACTTGGGCAGTATTTGTTGGCTTTGGAGTATATTAATGCTGTGATTGCTGGTACTCCAACTCTAATAGAATTATTCTACATAAAAGCAAAAATTTACAAGGTAAAATCTTAATCTTGATTTTTGAGTGGTTGTAATTGAATATTTTTTCTTTTGATTTTCCAATAGTAATTCCTAAGATTCTCTGATAATTTTTTTTCTATATTCTAATCATCCTAAGGAATTCTTTATTGTATAACAATGTTAGTCATTTGCTTCAGTTCTTAGTAGTAAGTGGAATCATAATTATCTAGTTTTCTAGATAAACTGACAAAATTATGTCAAATTTCTAACCTGTTTTTATTTATAGTTCTTTCCCATTTGTATGGCACACATTTTCTCTTGTTCATAAACAGATTTCCTTAACATCTCTTCTCTTGCAGCATATAGGTAATCTCAAAGAAGCAGCAAAGTGGATGGATGAAGCACAGTCTTTGGATACAGCTGATAGATTCATCAATTCCAAATGTGCAAAATACATGCTTCGAGCAAATATGATAAAAGAAGCAGAGGAAATGTGCTCCAAATTCACAAGGGTAGGGAATAGCATAAGTATGTAATTGTCTGAATTAGTAAAATTGAAGTTCTATGATGATTTGTTAAGTTTGCCATTGAAATTCTTAACAATTCCTTTAACAAATATCCTATATAGTCCGTGTTTCAGATTCGGTTTCTTACTGTGGTGCTGCATGAGTGTGGGTGTGTGAATACCTGCCATATAAATTCAGGCACCCAAGGAGTCCAGAAGAGGATATTACATCTACTGGAACTAGAGTTAGAGGTGGTTGTGAGTTGCTCAGGGGGGTGTTGGCCACTGAACTCTGGTCGTCTGGAAGAGCTAGCTACAAGGGGTTTTACCTAAAATTCAGTTTGTGCTGGGTATCATGATGTACACCTTTAATCCCAGCATGGAGGAGGCAGAAGCAGACCGATCTCTGAGTTCAAGGCCAGACTGATCTTCATATCGAGATCCAGGCTAATCATCAGGGTTGCATAATGAGATCCTGTCTTAAAATAAACTTTAAAAATGTAGTTTGTAGCCAGGCGTTGGTGGTGCATGCCTTTAATCCCAGCACTCGGGAGGCAGAGGCAGAGGCAGGTAGATATCTATGAGTTTGAGGCCAGCCTGGATCGCTGTGTGCTATCCTGGCACACAGCGAGTGCCAGGATAGTCTCCAAAGCTACAGAGAAACCCTGTCTCGAAAAACCAAAAAAAAAAAAATGTAGTTTGTATCCCAAATTTGATCCCTTTATAATTTATGATTTCTCTTTAATTCTCTATTACATCATCTTACTTCAGAATAGCTCAGAGTTCTTTCTGTGTATTTTCTGTGACATTCTAAAATTCTTTGGCTAAATACTTGTCCTATATTTTCTTCCTTTATCATCCCTTCTGTAATAGTGTCCTAATAGACATGAAACTTGGTTTTGATTAAAATTACAGGTTCATAGAACAGAATAGAAGGCCTGCAAATTGATTGAAATATATTTGGAAACTTGGTATGTAGCTAGAAGTACTTTTAAAATTAAAGATAAAATTGCAGGTATTTATGTTGAAAATTAAATGGCATCCCTATCTTTCGCTGCACACACACCAGTTCAGAGGGACCAAAGAGCTAAATATAGAAGAAAAAAAAAACAGATACTGAAAGGAAATGCATTCTGTTTAGTTTACAGAATGTTCTTCATGCTTAGAGAGGAAGTGTTTATTTATTTTCTAAAGGAGCAAGAAGGAGTATTTTTAAAATTTTATTTTTAAATTCTTTTTAGGTCAGTGTTGTTTGGTTTTGTTGGTTTTGTTGTTGTTGTTTTTTCTTGAGGTTTCTCTGTGCATCTCTGGCTGTGCTGGAACTCGATCTATAGACCAGACTGGCCTCGAACTCACAGAGATCCACCTGCCTCTGCTTCCCAAGTGCTGGGATTAAAGGCCTGCACCACCTTTTTAAGTTTTCTATCTAGTGATATTTCTGTGTTATTGAAATACTGTTTTTTCTAACTTTTGCTACACCTCTCTTTAGTACTTTGAGCATCTCTTTTGGTCATTTATTTACCTTTTTAAGACAGGCTCCAATAGCCAAGGCTGGCCTCAAACTCGTTGTGTAGGGAGGGTGATCTTGAACTTCTTTCTGATCCTCCTGTCTACCTTCTGAGTGCCAGAACTACAGGTTTGTCCCACGGTGACCAGTTTTCTGTGGTGCTGCACATTGAACCCAGGGCTTCATTTACAGTAGGCAGACAATGCCAACTGAGCTACAGCATACTCAACTGTAGTAATTAAACATTTAGTGACATATAGCAGTAGTGCATAGTAATGGGGTTTATTGTGTTATTTACATGAACATGTATAACATGAACTAATCAAATTCAGTCATCCTAAAAGTGTTTAAGATGAAGTGTGACTAATAGTGATATATTTGACTTTTATTAATTTAAGTGTATGTGTAGCAAAATAATTGTAATCAAAGTGAGAGAGAATTGGAGAATGTATCCATCCTATGATGATGACAAAACTTTTGTTAAGAACATGGGGGCTAGAGATTTATTGTTTGTGTTCACATAGGACATACTCAGGTGTCTGATGTTTTACAGAAAAGTAATTGAAGCTTAGAAGAGGATACTTGGACCATCTTTGGTCACACAGTGACTAGTACTGTGGTTCAGCATCCTTTCCACTGCATCACAGGTATCAAGATTAGAAGAGACTACAACAGAGAGTCATAAAAATCCTTCGGTTTTTGATAAAAAAGTAAAAACAAACAAACAAAAAAAAATACTACCTGGGAGGTAAAGGTAGGGATTAGAAGTACAGTTAAAAATCAGAGAATAAAATTTAAGTTAAATTTAAGTTCAGTGATTTAAACAAACACAAACAACTAGCATGTACCTTCAAGGGCACAGGAGAATAAAGTGATTGAATGAAATGCTCACAATTCACATTTAACAGATTGTTTTCATCTCAGAATTACAGAGGGTTACAAATGCTTGTTTAGTAGTTCTTTATGGTAAAAAGTTTGAGCTAAAGTAACTTTTTTTGGTGTGAAGACACAGTCATCAGGAAATGGCAAATATACATAACTATCCAGAGATGATAAATTTTTAGCTTTTTTTTTGTGTGTGTGATAGGCCTTACACTTGACATCTTGCCTTCACCTCCTGAGCACTGGGAATTTTTAGACTTTAAATAAATTCTAAGAACTGAACTGATAGTATAAGGTGGCCTTAGTGATCAAAGACTGAAAATGTTTTTTAAAAAAGATTTATTTATTATGTATACATAATTTTTATGTATAAATAGTATTATTTATTATGCTCTGCCTGCATGTAAGTCTGCAGGCCAGAATAGGGCACCAGATCTCATTACAGATGGTTGTAAGCCACCACATGGATGCCAGGAATTAAACACAGGACCTCTGGAAGAGCAGCCAGCACTGTGCTCCTAACCACTTAGCCATGTCTCTGGCCCCTGAAAATGTTTTTATAAATATACCTTTCCCTTCTTTTCTGAAATCACACAAATTTGTTTAAAATAAATCTGTTTCAACCGATGACCAAAGTCCAGTGCCCTACATTGAAACTAAGTACTTTATATCTTACATTCCTCTTATCTTTAATCCTGACCTAACAAATACTTGTAACAAACTCAGGGATCTCTCTCTCTCTTTCTTTCTTTCTTTCTTTCTTTCTTTCTTTCTTTCTTTCTTTCTTTCTTTTTTTTTTTTTTAAAGACAAGTTTAGGCTATGTACTTCAGGCTGGTTTTGAACTCAAAATTCTCCTGCTTCAGTCTCCTCGGTGCTGGGATTATAGGCATGCCATCAACTTGTTCAATGTTACTTGGTTTTAATAGCATGCAGCACGGGAGAACTAGTGAAGTGACAGACCTGTTATGAACACCAGATGGTCTTAAGCTCAGGTGCTTGAACAAATAAGTGACATTGCATATACACACAGGAGGGAGATTGAGAAACTGACAACATTACTAAGAAATATGATAACAGTATTGGATCTTTGTAACAGTGACATTGAGTCAGCAAGGAAATATTAAATAGCAGAAAGTGAAAAGAAGATAGGAAATATCCATAGGGATATTGTTTTAAGTAGTTAAAATAAGATCTTCAATGCTTAAAATTAACTTTAGTAATTTGGAGTTCATCCTGTACAAAATAGTGAACACCCCAGTGAAGCTGAATAAGTAAAACTTCGTAGTTTAAAACCAGTAAAGAGTGCTGCGGAGATAGCTCAGTGGGGAAAGTGCCTACTGCCAGGACCTACAGTAGATCTTTAAGTCTCCCAAAGTGAAAGGAAAGCATTGACTCCCACAAGTTGTCCTCTGACCTCCAAATGTGCTGCGCCATCTGTGCATACACATACACAAATTAATACACATACACATTAATACACATACACATACAACATAAATTAATAAAATAATCAAAAATATCACAAGCCTTAATATATCTGCTGATAACTAATTATTGTCATCGTAATACTTGTGGGCATAGCTGGAAAAGGAAAGTTGACTTTTTCCTCTAGTGATTTGAACCCAAGGCTTTATATGAATATACCTAAAATGTGATTTGGGGGATCTGTTTTATTGCTTGCTTCCTTATATTTATGCAAGTTTCCATTTCAGGAAGGAACATCTGCCATGGAAAATCTAAATGAAATGCAGTGTATGTGGTTTGAGACAGAATGCATTTTAGCATATCAGCGCCTTGGGAGATATGGGGATGCCTTGAAAAAATGTCATGAAGTAGAAAGGGTGAGTTCTTAGGATGTGGATTCTCCTTTCTTCTGTAAGTGACAAGAAAATCAGGTACATGTCTACACTGGATCATCTGCCTCTTCTGACTAACTCTGACAGCTTCATTTGAAAACAATTCTTTATATTTAGTATTGTAAGCAATGTGCAGGAAATTACTGCTTTTTGATACTTTTGACATGTTTTATGTATTTTTTTCTGAAGAGAAAAGGAAAACAATTTAGCACAAACAATTTGTGCTATAATTGGCATACATTCACAATTTCTCTTCCCTCATCTGGCCATTATTTAATTTCCATCAGCAGCCTAGGAGGACACACTGCTGGTGGCAATATCTTCCCTCTTAAACATCAGGATCTGGTCCACAGTCAGCCTCTCTCCAGTTCGTCTTCCCAGGATGTTTGTTCTCACATTTGGTACCCTGTGCATCAGCTGGCCAATTTGCAGGCTTATTTTATTACTTGCATTTAAAATTATGTATGTGATATGCCTTAGTGAGGGCACTTTTCTTTTCCTTTGTGTGAATTTTTGTTTTCCTGTTCTTTGTCATCTCTGAAGCACTCTCCTTCTACATGGACCACAGGAGGAAAGGAGCCGCAAATGCACCCCTGAGGCAGTCCTCAGCAGCCCTCAGTTGTGGGGGCACTCGGCACCACTCTTCCCCTGATGACGCAGTATAAAACCACAGGCGTCGTAGTCAGGTGAGCCTGATGTCTGCACCATGGCAGTCACTTTGGCCTTCTTCCCATGCGAAACTTCTGAGGTTACCCAGCGGAAGGCTGTCTTAGAGGGTGGCTTTTAATGGGAGCTGGAACTAGGATTATACCAGAACGTTTACAGAAATCACCAAAGTTTGCTTTGTTCTGTTTTTGTTTCTCCTGTCCTTTAAACTTGTATTTCTAGGGTAAAGACTTCTCATTTTCTCTTTGAGATTTCTAAGCCTCTTAGATTACATGTTTAATATATAAACATTATAGTTTAAATCAGGCTTCTATTTCTGTGGTGAAATTGTAGAACTGAGTTGGGACTGGAGGTGCAGGCCTGTAATCCCAGAACTCAGGAGCGTCATAAGTTTGAGGCTAGCCTGAATGGCAGATGGTATTCAGGGTCAATCTAGGTAACACAGTGAGACCCTGTCACGACAAAAAAAGGATAGGAGATAGGTTGGTGAATAAATGTGCTTGTTGTACAAGCCTAGTGACTTGACTTTAGATCCCTGGAATCCATAACATCTAGACATAGTGGTGTGTGTTTGTAATTCCAGGACTCCTGTGGTGAGTTGGGAGGTGGAGATGCGGCATAGACAGGAAAATCCTAGGGAATTTGTAGACCAACTAGCCAGGAGTACACAAACAGCAAGAGAAACCCTTGTAAAACAAGGTGGATAGGCTGGAGAGATGGCTCAGCAGTTCAGAGCACTTGCTCTTGCAGAAGACAGGAGGTTTGATTTCCCAGCACCCACATGGTGGTTTATAACCATCCTTAAACTCTAATTCCAGGGTATCTGATGGCATCTTCTGATCTTCATGGACAACACAAAAACATGTGCACATGGTGTACAAACATACATACAGGCAAACCACTCATACACAGAATAAATGAAAAAGAACCAGCAAGGCAAAGGGAAGTGAAAGGTGAGAACTAACACTGAAGTTTGCCCTCTGACCCCCACATATGTGTCATGGTACACATATGCTGTCATTCACACATGTAAACACAAACCTACACAGAAATGAAGAACAAAAGCTAGCAGCAAAAACTACTGAGTATCAGTAGCTTATGTTAGTGCTCACTAGTATGTACCACTTAAAAGGCCTCCTGCTTGTTAAGGAATGACATTTCATGGACCTCATTAAACTCCTTTTTAAGCATTTGCAAATTAGTACTTTCTAGCAAGGATGCAAGTAGAATCCTACTCATTTTCTTGTTGAAGTTTAATTTGAATGTTTGTAGGATTCTTACAGTTGGAACTTCTCAGACTTAAGTCCTATTCTTCTTAATGTTGATGCCTGAATTGCTTTATGATTTACAGTATTTCCTGGATTGCCAGACTGTGATAAGTAAATCTTCTGTTAATGTATAACATTAAGTTTATAGTGACAGTGCCTGAGTAGCATGAATGAAATTCCTAATACCAGGTAAACTACTTCTAGTTCAAAAATGATTTAATTAGAAGAAAATATCCTTGAAGGAAAGGGTTACATTGACTACCAGAGATTAAAATGTAGAAACCATCACTCTGGTTGTATGGCCTGGTTATATTTATTTTAAAAATTAACTGTATTCAGAGTTTGCTATTGGCATTTCACTCTATGAAAAATATGAAACACAAATAAGAAAAGATCTTCTTCTCATGCCACTTATGATTATATTTATACTAAAAATAAAAGCTTAAATATTACTAATAATATGCATATTTTACATATATGTAGAAATAGATTTTGTATAAACAAATACATTGACTGATTTCTAACAAAATTAATACATTCAAAGAAAATGCTTAGTGTCATTGGAAAGATTTAAGAGTATAAACTTCAGGCTTAGGAACTGGAGAGATGGCTTAGTGGTTAAGTACTTGCTGTACATACATGAGATTATGGGTTCAAATCTCTAGCACTGATTTAAAAAAGAAAAACAGGAATAAAAATATATATCTGAGGGGATGAGACAGACAGACCTCTGGGGTCTAGCTAGGCAGTCTAGCTGAAATAGTAAGCTCCAGGTTCAATAAGAGACCTTGTCTCAAAAAAGGAAAAAAAAGCACTTGAGGAAGATACCCTGCTTCAACCCAGTATACATGTGCCCACCCGGTATACACACACAGAGTTTGGCCTGGGGAGGTGGCTCATTCGGTAAAAGTGCTTGCCTTGTAAGCATGACGACCCGAATTTGGATCCTCAGAACTCATGTAAAAAGCAAGGTGGAAAGGTGTGCATCTCTAATTCCAGCAGTGACATGGGTGCAGAGACACCTGGATCCTTGGAAGCTACTGGGCCAGCTATCCTGGCCAACATGTCAGATTCCTGGCCAGTCAGAAACTGTGTGTCAAACAAAAGTCAAAGGCACCTTAAAATGGTCATCTGAGGTCATTCTCTGATCCACACACACACACACACACACACACACACACACACACACACCCTATTCTCCTGCACCTACAAGAATGCCCACATATACACATGTGTACACCAAAAGTATAAAATTCAAAGTTTTTTTTTTTTTCTTTTTCTTTTTTGAGACAGGGTCTCACTGACTTTCCTGGATCTCTCTATGTAGACCGGGTTGGCCTCAATCTCATAGAAATCCTCCTGCCTTTGCCATTTGGGTGCTAATTTAAAGGTGCACGCCACTACATACAGCTTTCAGAGATGAATTTTTAACTGCTTACACAAGTTACTTTATACCTGGCTTCTTATATTTTAGTAAGGAAATACCTATCACAAATAAAATTTTGCATTTTATTTTTAAATAGAAATAAAGCTAAGAAAGAAGTTTAAATAAGGAGCAGGTCTTTCTGCTTTCAAGATTTCATTCAAGAATGTTTTCATTGAAAGCAGTTTCAGCTTTCACGTGCTGCTGTGGTATCTTAGAAATTGGATTTGAAATTTTAGCATTCTGGAATGTACATAGTACCTTTTCTGTCTTCATTTTGGCCCTCTAAGTGGATTTTAAGATGATGATAGTGATGATGATTATTATTAAAGATTGCATAGCCTAGTCCAATCTGCTGCTCAAGTTTTATTAAACAAAACAGATGTCTTCAAGGTATTATAAGCTTGTATTCATAGCAACATTCTGAATTATTTATCTTTTTTAAAATACTGGGATCTCTTTTTAGTGTGCTTGTTTATATTTGTCAGGGCAATATATATATATATATATATAGACATATACAATAATATATGTCTTTCTAACTATATAACCTAGGACTTCTAAAACCTGTTGCATCATTTTTTAAGTTGTCACATGTTTTATAATGACAGATCCTTTAGAGAGGCAAAGGTTGCTTATTTCCTGAGTTGATGTAATCAACCATTTTCAAGAACAGGTGTTCCCCCCCCCATGTATGTTTTTAATTGTCTCAGCCAAGAATTCAGAGGCATGACAGACAGGAAAGTGGCCAGAAGAGAGGGCCTCACACAGAATTCCTGAAGAAAGTTATACTCTAAAACTTTGATAGCTTTTCTTGATTCTTTGCCAACTAATCTTAATTCAAGCCCAAGATTTGTTTGTTTCTGTTTTGTTGAGAGAGGGTCTTGCTGTATAGTCAGTGTTAGCTTCTATTTCATGGTCAAGCTTAATTTTGTTGACCATCTGCCAGAAGTGTCTGCTAGGCAGAGGAGGAAAGGTTTAAGATTATTTACTTGTTTATGTAGTATTCTGCATTGCCCATTTTATCCCAAAGCCATAGCTATAATATCCTGCTCTTTTTGATTTTATATAGCTTATTTATTTATTTATTTATTTATTTATTTATTTATTTATTGCTGCCAAGAGCTATATTGAGTAAGTGAATACCCAGGTTTGCCTTTGGTCAGTGTTCACTGGAAAAACTGAGGCGACTTCTGGTAAACTGGGCAAAGTTGGTCACCCAGTTTATGGAAGACATCAACTGGAGAGAGGCAGCCTGTGGGCTGTTACTGATAGAGGTGGATTAAATGTTTGTGGTTCCAGATGACTTCTGAAATGTGACTTAAAATCCATGTCTACTGATATTTCTAGGAATCTCTTTTGAAGCTTGTCATCTACTTTTCATGTGTTTCTCAACCTAAATGATGTCTTGTAGTCTCTTAGATGTTTTCATCTTACTGTGTGTTCTATGACTTAGCATTTCTGTTTCCCTTAGCCAATTGTGTTGAATTTTAATGTATTACTTTTATGTAAGCTTGGTTTGCATTAAGGACAACTTTATGAAGTATGGTAGCCTTTGATTTTTAAAAAGTAAATCAAATTAATGTCATTACTAATTTATTTACCTCATTGGGAAAATTCAATTTTCAAATATGTCATTAAAACATGATTTTCTAATAACTGTGAACTAATATGAAATATTTATTTTTTCTGTTTCTTGTCTCTGTGTTTACTTTTATTCTTCTTAGAATTCTTCTCTTAAACTCTTAGATATTTAGTGTGTTTCTGTATATATAACATGTTTCTAATTACCAAGTTGACTAAAAATATCAAGTAGTGAGGAACAATTGCTATATATCCTCTGCGTAGTGAGTTGCTAGATCACCTTCAACACCCCTTCTCCCACTGAGGGAATATGGAGTACTTCATTTTTGTATATGAGTTTGGAGAAGCCAAAGTGGAGTGGGGAAGCAGAGGTATAAATATATGTCAGAGAGAAAAATAAATTATAAAACTGCTAATGTAGATTAGAGGTGAACTGTTTTCTTTTGATGTGGGTGGGGATGTGAGTACATTGGAAATTAGATGAAAGCATTGAGCTAAAGTTAGGAAAACCTTATGGCTTAAGATTTTAAAATTTATGGAATATGGGTATATTAATGAGAGCTTCTTCAATAGGGAAAAGCCATAGTGCTGTCTTTGAATAGCACTTTACTAATACGAATAAACTTTAAAATGTGTAGCTTGAACAATCACAGTAAGAAGCTGGCTATATAGATGTATCCTAATTTGATGAAATCCCTAAGGCACTAAGAAATAAAAGACTTATTCATATGCGCTATTGACAGACTCTTTATTAAACCTCAAGTGGTTGGTATTGTGCCGTGGACTTACACACAAGAGCGCAGGGAGGAGTAGATGAGTCAGATTTGTAAAGATTTAGTTCGAGCCTGCATGAAGTCATTTTCAGAGTTGTATTTAGCTCTGCCACGTTGGTTTAATGGGAGTACAGAGGAAAACTACATTTACATGTTCTCATTTCCAGAGATGACCCGATACTTGTCTTATCAGGGGAGAGGGTCACCACAAAATATGATATCAGGAAATAGCGTGGATTATAGAAGAACCCTTTAAGTTGAAATCAGGTGTGTTCAGAATATTGTAGCTGTGAGAAGGATACTTTAAGTTGAATGCAGAGAACTTGAAGCCTTTTGTATTGTTAACATTGAAAGGGCAACCAAGTGCAACTGTGGCTGTATTATTTTAGAGACTTTTTGTAATTTTCTTTTAAAAGGTAGAGGTTATTGATATCAATGTAAGAGATAATTCTGTGGTTTTGTTTTTAAGCATTTTTTTGAGATAACTGATGATCAATTTGACTTCCATACATACTGCATGAGAAAGATGACCCTTCGTGCTTATGTTGACCTCTTGAGATTAGAAGATACTCTCAGAAGACACACCTTTTATTTCAAGGCTGCTAGATCAGCAATTGAAATATATTTGAAATTACATGATAACCCTTTAACCAGTGAAAGCAAGGAACAAGACATAAATTCAGGTAATGAAAAGACTTAAAAATAGTACTAAATTTCAAAAGATTATTATCAGATTAACATATTGCATTTGAAAATGTATCAACAAATGACTAAGGAGATGAAAAAGTTAGCTGGTCTGTATAGTAGGTAATTACCAATACGGAGTCAGGTAGAAATATAAGGGTATTTAATAGGGAAAAGCCTTACTTACAGAGCGGACCAGCCAGCCGGTGGTAGTCTGTACAGCAAGAAGCAAAGAGAAACCGAAACCGAAAACGCAGTCCCCCTACTCACTCTGACCACGCCCTCACAAGCCCTCAGGTACTCCTGTAGCCAGCCCCTAAGAAGGCGTGGCTACAGCTTCCCCTACAGGTCTGTAGTGGTGCACACCTTTAATCCTGGCATTCAGGAGACAGAGGCAAGAAGATCTTTAAGTTCGAGGCCAGCCTGGTCTACAGAGTGAGTTCCAGGACAGTAAAGGCTAAGTTCCAGGACAGAGAAAGCTTGTTTAAAAAAAAAGGTTAACCCAGTTATACATTATATACTGTATCAGATTGTCTTACCTTACCCCATGCTTGCACAATCAAAATAACAGGAAGAGTATGTATGTTGTTAATGGATGTTAAGTCAGGGAGACTTCAAATAAAGTCAGGGGCCAGTGTTCTTTAACAAATATATCTCAGTCAGACCAATGAGATGACTTGCATGCCTCTTCCTACCTTCCACCCCCACCCCCCAGCTGCCCTCAAATTCTTGATGTTTCTGCCTCAGCCTCCTAAGTGGAGTTACAGGTGTGTACTACAGTATCAAGCACAGTTTTTCTTAGGTTTGTTTTCCATAATATCAGCTAAGAAAGCCCATAAATGTCTATGAGCTATTTTCTTTTCTTTAAATGGTAATTGAAGAAAAGCATTTGAGGCTGGTGAGATGGCTCAGCAGATAAAACTTTGACCTTATGAGCCTCCTGATGTGAGTTTGATCCCTGCAACCTGTGTAAAGGTAGGAGAGAACCAATTCTATAGGATTGACCTTTGACCTTCATATATGCACTAAGGCACACACACCCCCTTCAATCTTAACCTCTCCAAACACACCCCTCCCCAAACATACTGTTTTATTTCTCTGTGTTGCCCTGGCTGTACTGGAACTCAATCTGTAGACCAGGCTGACCTCAAATTCAGAGATCCATCTGCCTCTGCTTCCTTAGTGCTGAAATTAATGGTGTGTGCTATTACTACCCAGCCTAATAAATGTTTTTTAAGTGGAAAGTTTTGAGTACCTCAGGAAAAATACATATTCTTACAACTTGTGGTATTTGCTTTACTGAAAGTGAGAATGTCTCTGCTACACTGGACTGCCAGTGACTGAATGCAGGCCCCGGATGTAGTAGCTAGGAAGTATAGGGTTCATCACATACATTCTCGAACCCTTGAAACAGCCCAAGACCATAATTGGTACATGTTTTACAGCTTGAAACTGAGGGGGATAAAGTGATTTTCCCGTTATTTATTGTATGGGAGATTGTTTTTATTTTCTGTTGCAATAAACTGTCCTGTCAAAAGCATCTAATGGAAAAAGGTCTCATTTTAATGCACAATTCCAGGTTAGGGTCCATCATAGCACGGGAGTCAAGTCAGCAGGAACAGTCAGGAGCAGAGAGAATGTATGCATACACACAGTGCTCAGTTTTCTCCTCTTTAATGCATTACTCCACCAAACCCAGGAACTGGTGCTGCTCACATCAGTTAACATAACCAGGACACTTTCTCACAGACATGCCCAGGGGCCAACCTCATGTAGATAGTCCATCAATGAGACTCTTCCTAAGTGACTCTAGATTGTGTCAAGTTGACAGAGGCAGAATTATCACAGATACAAGACTGAGTTGGAATTGGTTGTAGTTATTAATGGAACCAGTATTTGTTGGCTGCCTTTTGTGTGCCATGTTTGGCTAGTGACAGGAATATACTTTGTAAAACCTTTACATAGACTCCCATCCCCATCCAGAAGAAAAACATATTAACAGTATATATATTATAGAAAAGACAAAACATGCAAAATGGCATCAACATGTTTTATACATTTGAATATTTATAGAAGTACTGTCAGCCAAAGAACTGAAGAAAATGCTTAGCAAGCAAAGAAGAGCCCAGAAAAAGGCTAAGTTACAAGAAGATAGAAAGCACACAGAAAGGGAACGTCAACAGAAAAATCAAAAGAAAAAAAGAGAAGAAGAAGAAGAAACTGCCAGTGGTCATAAGGAAGAACTTGCAGCTGAAAAACTAGAAAGGGTGAGTTGATAATTACCGTTTTATGCTAAAATTCATGCTATTTGATTCTGTTCTGGCCATAATTTTTTACAAGCTGCTTCCCACATCTCCTTTGTAAGAGTTTTAGCCTTAATTTGTCCCACTAGGCTGTAGTCTATACCAAATCAGTGAAGAGACAGAGGGAAAAATTAGCATTTCTTTTCTATGAAATTATTAATTTTTGTGCAATTAGCTTTGATTCCACTATATTAACAACTATTTTATATATAGATATATTTCTGTGATTTCCCCTTTTTAAATACAAAAAATTTTGCTTCAAAATAGGTTGACAATCCATTAGAAGAAGCCATCAAGTTCCTCATTCCTCTAAAGACCCTTGCTGCTGATAACATTTATACCCATCTGCTGGCATTTGAAATATATTTTAGGAAAGGTAACACGTTTTGAATTGAGGGTTGTATGTCTATTGTGTTGTTTTCCATGGTGCAGGGGGTTGAACTCTTAGGCATGTGCTTCTTCCCTAAACTTCACACTCTTAACTTTGAGTTCAGCTTGTAGCCTTGATAATGTTCACTGTTTTAGATACAATTTTGTCACTAAGATCCACTTTTTTAGAGCTTTATGTCAACCTTTCACAAAGGTTCAGTTCCCTTTTATTTTCCTACTCCCAAAATTTACTGGACAACATACTAAAATATAGTATTATGCAGTTTGAGGATAGTTTGAATGTGTTAGTTTTTGGGTTGTTTTTTTTTTTTAAGATTTTATTTATTTATTTATTATGTATACAACATTCTGCTTCCATGTATATCTGCACACCAGAGAGGGCACAAGATCTCATAAGGGATGGTTGTGAGCCACCATGTGGTTGCTGGGAATTCAACTCAGGACCTCTGGAAGAGCAGTCAGTGCTCTTAACCTCTGAGCCATCTCTCCAGCCCCTGTATTAGTTAGTTTTATGTCAGTACAAATTAAAGTTTTACATTTGGGAAGAGGGAACCTCACCTGAGAAAATGCTTCTAGCAAATTGGCCTGTGGGCATTTTCTTGATTATTGTGGGAGAATCTAGCTCACTGTAGGCAGTGTCACCCATAGGCTGGTGGTTCTTTGAAGTATAAGAAAGCACTCTGGGAAAGCCATGAGAAACAAGCTAGCAATTAGAGTTCCTCCATGGTCTGTATAATTCCTGTCTCAGGTTTCCTGTCTTGAGTTCCTGCCCTGACTTCCCTGGATGATGGACAACCACCTGAAAGATGAAATAAACCCTTTCCTCCCCAAATTGCTTTTGGTCTATGTTTTATCACAGAAGTGGAAACCTACCTAAGACATTTATGTGAAGCAGTTTTTTTGTTTGTTTTCTTTTTTGGTTTTCCAGACAGGGTTTCTCTGTGTAGCTTTGGAGCCTATCCTGGAACTCGCTCTGTAGACCAGGCTAGCCTTGAACTTTCAGAGATCTGCCAGTCCCTGCCTCCTGAGTGCTGGGATTAAAGGCATACACTACCACCACCCAGCCTATATGAAACAATTTTTAAAATGTTCTTAGGAAAGCAAAAATTGTCTTGGGTAAATTTTTTCCACACTTTTTTTTTTTTTTTTTTTGGTTTTTCGAGACAGGGTTTCTCTATACAGCTTTGGAGCCTATCCTGGCACTCGAACTCACAGAGATCTTCCTGCCTCTGCCTCCCTAGTGCTGGGATTAAAGACGTGCGCCACCAACGCCCCGCTCTTAAATTAAGTTCCTAAATTGAATTTAAGTGACCCTAAAATAAAATGACAATAACACATAAATACTGATGCTGGTTTTTTTGTTTTGTTTTTCTGGCACAGAGAAGTTTCTGCTAATGTTGCAGTCTGTTAAACGAGCCTTTGCCATCGACAGTAATAATGCATGGTTACATGAATGCTTGATTAAATTTTCTAAATCTGGTAAGTATAAGGAGGAGGTATTCATGTACATGCAACTATGAAAAACAAATATAAGCCATCCTCCATTTAGCTGGACAGGAAGAAGACTGCTAAGATGTAATGAAACCAAAAGTTTGCCTGATATCAAATGGCAAATGGTAGTATACCTGTAGTTAAACAATGAGATAGAAATTAGTGCATTTTAGAATATACTGTCTGTTTCAAAGGAGTTGTAAAATAATTTTACTGTGTGTGTGTGTGTGTGTGTGTGTGTGTGTGTGTGTGTGTGTGTGTGTGTAGCATAACAGTAATTACAAAAGAATTTCAGTTGATTTTTTTTTTTTTACCCTGAAAGGACAGATGAAAAACAAATCCAAATGTTTTTGTTTTTGCAGTATCTAATCATAGTAATATTCCAGACATTGTGAGCAAAGTTCTAGCTCAAGAAATGAAGAAAATATTTGTCAACAAAGATTTGCAACGCTTTAATGAGGATTTCCTCATACACAATGCTACCTCTCTTCAGCATCTACTTTCAGGTTTGTATTTGGAAAAGTGTTCAGTCTAATTAATTACCAAAGGAAAAAAAGGAGAAAAGAACACAGGACCATTTGTATTTTTGAACTGACCGAAATGTTCTTGTTAAAATGGAGAATAGAGTATATAGTCAGCTGCACTTTTGGATTTGATTCACACAGCCGTTTAGGAAAGCAATTTGTCTGTCTTACTAAGAGTTGCATATTAGGTGCTGGAGAGAAGCTCAGTGGTTAAGAGTACTGCTGCTGCTCTTGCAGAGGACCCAGGTTCAGTTTAGAGCCCCACACGGTGGCTCATAACCGTCCTTAACTCTAGTTCCAGGGGATCCAGTGTTCTCTTCTGACTTCTTTGTGTACCAGGCATGCACTTAGTACACAGTTATATATACAGGCAAAGCAGAGCTCATAAAATATAAATAAAAGTATTTTTTTAAAGTTGCACATTAACTGTGCCTTTTGATTCTATAGTTATACTTTTGTAAATAACTTAATCCAAAAACCACTGGAGCGTAGTAGTTCTCACCTGTACTCCCAAGACTCCAGATGCTGATGCAGGAGGATTACAAGTTTGAGGTCGGCCTTAGTTGGCTACATACACAAACCCTAGCTCAAACAAATTAAACAAAGATATCCATATGTAAAATTTGGGGAAAGAGAATAAACAGATAAATATATGTTCGGTGATATGGGAAATAGTGGTAAATGGTAGACTGGAATACCAGGTAGTCATTTAAACATTTAAAGCAGTATTAATTCTACTGAAATGATTTATGACAGTGATTAACAGCTTTTTTTTTGGTGGGGGGTGAAGTCTTATGTAGCCCAGTCTGTGTTTGAACCTGGTATGTGGTGAAACTTTGCTTAATCTCCCTACTTTGACCTAAGTGCTGGGATTACACCTACCTAGTTATCTGGTTATCAATCAATCAATCAATCAATCAATCAATCAATAATTGTGTGTGCGTGTGTGTCCTGTCTGTCTGTGTCTGCAGGGTGTGTGTGTGTGTGTGTATGTGTGTGTGTGTGTGTGTGTCCTGTCTGTTTGTGTCTGCAGGGTTTTTCTCAAATTTTTATTGCCATTATGCTTTATTTATTTATTTAGTTTTTGTAGAGGGTTTAATGTCAATTTGGGTTGACCTCTTATAGCCAAGGATGACCCAGAACTTCTTATGCTTCCATATCCTGAGTACTAAGATTAGTGCGATGGTCCACCACATCTAGTTTTATTATGCAGTGCTGGAGATTGAGCTCAGGCCTTCATGCAAGTTAGGCAAGCATTCTACCAGCTGGGCTACATCCTTAGCCTTGTATTATGTATTTTGTCTTGAAAATTTATTGGTATCTTGTGGGGCGTGAGGGTGGAGGAGTCATGATGAATTGTCTGGGAAGCAGACTGCAGACCAGCAACAGGGTGCAGATCTGGTTTACTATGGAAGTTCACTAGCATGTATACATATGGTCATCCAGTCAGCTAAGGACACATCTTGCTATTAGCCGTGGGTCCGAATGGTGTGCAAATGGTGGCGTGTTAGGTTGTACATGGGGTCTGCATGTCCTGGCAGTGTGTCCGTGGACAAAGGGCAGGAAGCCGGCAATGCCCTGGGCTCAGCACCATTCTGTTTGTCTCCAGTGTGTCCGAACCCTATTATGTGTCATGTAGATACTAGAGACTCAGATCTGTCGTTCAGAGACGCCATCTGTACAGAGACTGCTCTCTCAGTGTCCTGTTTGTTTTGGAAAAGATTTTAGGCAGCTTACACAAATTCCTAAAATGTCAAGGGCAGCATAAATGAAAACTAGATAAAAGATAGAAAAGTTGGAGATAAATTGAAAGATGTATCAAAATTAACTGTGCTCTACCTTAAGCCATGTAGATATTTTTGCCTGAAATTAATCTAAGGTTTGTTGTTAAGGCAAATGTCTTCACTGTAAAATGGAAGAAATACTTAGATTTAAAAAAATTACATTTCTAGGTAGAGCAGAGAAGAGTTTCTGTTTTAGAACAGAGGACAGGGGCCAGAGAGATGGCTCAGCAGTTAAGAGGTTCTTGTACTGCTTTTCCAGATGATTTGAGTCAGATTCCCAGTACTTTATCAGGAGGCTCACAACTCCAGCTCCAGAGGGATTTAACACCTCTGACCTCTGTGGTACTTGTACTCAAATGTATAACCTCCCCCCCCCCACACACACACTTAAAATATTTTTTTAAATAGGGGAAAGTAATTTTTTAGAAAACCAGGATAATAGAAATCATTTCTTTTTAATAGTTGTGAGAAATAGAAATGGGTTGGAGGTTAAGATCATTGACTGCTCTTCCAGAAGTCCCGAGTTCAATTCCCAGAAGCTAAATGGTGGCTCACAACCATCTATAATGAGATCTAATACCCTCTTCTGTCATACAGGCAAATGTGCAGACAGAACACTGTATACATAAGTAAATACACCTAAAAAAAAAAAAAGGAAGAAAGGATGAATGAAGTGTTTAATTAGTCTTTATCAACAAAAGCTTGGGAGTCAGATATCAGGGTAAGAACCTGAATGATCAGAGAAACTGTGGAGAAGCAACCAGTGACCTCCTCCTTCCTCCCTCAATCTAAAAGGGCCGAGAATCTTTCTAAACCCTACCCTACTACTTCCTTTGTCTCTCTATATGTCCTCAGTCCTCCAAAACCTCTGTGGTTAAGTTTGGTCAGTTAGTAGCTAGCTCTGCCTTCTGATTTAAAGTAACTTTATTGGCAGTCTTGGGAGTGTCAGTGCAATCGAAATATCCCATAAAAAAAGAGTCAAAAGACCATTTTGTAACTGTAAGTTAATATGTATAGAGTTTTCAACAAATTACTGACAAATAATGAATATTAATAATAATACAGTAGGAATGTGAACATAGACCATATCATTTTCAGGACACATATGAGCTATGTTTTATTTTATTTTAAATAGCTTTTTAAAATTACTTTCTTTGTGAGTATGGACATATCTTTCATTGACCATATTTCTTTGTGACAGTAATTTATTCTTTAGATTCTTTAGTTTAAGATACTATGCTTTTTAAAAGTGGTTTTAGCTGAAATATCCTATATGATAAACATACAGGGCTATACTATATGTCTATCATTTTGAATCACATTGTTTCTAAGCACAGAAGTTATCAAATTAGCCTTCTTTCAGTAAATGATAGATAACTGTTATTATGGAAAAGTTTTAATAATGTGTTTTGTTTTAAACTTTATTTAAAAAATGTATGTGTATGAGAGTTTACCAGCATGTATGTGTGCAGAACCTATGGAGACCAGAAGAGGGTATCAGATTGCCTGGAACTGGAGTTATAGATGTTGTAAGCTGCCATGTGGGTACTGGAAACTAACCCTGCATCCTCTGTAAGAGCAGTAAGTGCTGTTGACTGCTACTCTGATAGTTTTGCCGTGGTAACTTGTCTCCATTGTAACCCAAAACTTCATGGGATATTACTGAACAGGAGGAAATTAGGAACAAATGTCACAGTTGGCTGCCCAGAGCTGGTAGATGCCAGCTCTAGCCCACCACTAGTTAATTAAACACTTTAAGCCAAATCTGGTTGGTCAGTATAAATTAGATGAAACATAAGCCTTAAGAGTTACTCATCTTAAAATGTCTTGGAATTTCAGGTGCTAAAATGATGTATTTTCTGGATAAGTCAAGACAAGAGAAAGCAATTGCTATAGCCACTAGGTTGGATGAAACCATAAAAGATAAAAATGTGAAGGTAAGATTCTTCACAGGCTGATTTATAGGTTGTGCAATATCTAACAAAACATGTAACTCCACAGCATAGCTCTAAGTGGGTTAAAGCGCTCAGTTCTCCGCATTGTTAACTAACTATATGACTTCAGGCAAGTTATGTTTCTTTTCTCATTTCAAAGATAGATGTGCAAGTGTTACCTGTTGCATAGTTGAGTTGGAGTTAACTGAAATAACAAAGCATGAAGTCCTTCATCCTGGCTCATACATAGAGCCACTTAGTAATGTGAACTGTTGTTACCAATAGGACACACTTCGTGGATATGGTGGTGTGTGCCTTTAATTCCATGACTCAAAGAGTGGAGACATGAGAATCAGAAGTTCAAAGCTAGCCCTGGCTACATACTCGGTTTAGTGCTAAGCTGCCGCAATAAAACAAATGCTGGCTTTTAGAGTTTTCCCCTCTTAATTTTTTGTTTGTTTGTTTGTTTGTTTGTTTATTGAGAAGGAGAGCACCATGCTAGGAATGTGGAGGTCAGAGGACAACTTTTGGGATTTGGTTCACTACTTTCCCATATGGGTCCTAAGGATTGACCTTTGTATTGTCAGGCTTGGTAGCAAGTAGGTTTATCTGCTGAGGCTTCTTGACTTTCTCTTTTCCCTTTTTTGAGACAACATCTTGCTGTATAGTTCACATAGGACTTGGAATCCTGCTTCAGCCTTCTGAGTGCTGGGATCAGAGAGGCCTGTGCCACCACAAGCAGCTCAGAGTTGGCATTCAACATTCTTTATTTGAAATGATTACTTACTACAGATAGGAAGAAGGGACTGAAGTCTTTCTCAGGGATAATGAATAAGTTGTATCTGTTGGTTAAAATCATTATTAGCAAGCTGCTTTTTAAGATCTTTGTAAAATTGATTTTCCTCTTTTGTGTCATTAGACTCTTACAAAGGTTTCTGAGGCACTGCTGGATGGCAGCTTTGGGAACTGTAGTTCCCAGTATGAGGAGTATAGGAAGGCCTGCCATAACCTGCTTCCACTTACATCTGCTTTCCTGCCTGCTGTGACCGACACTGCACTGAACCGAACAATTGACCCTGAGCTCTTGTGGCCTGAAATTTGAAATCTTGTGCACAGTTTGCTCCTACAGATTCAAAGTTGAATTCACATCAGGGTTTCTTTTCCATTAGTATGAAGTGAAATATTGGTATGAAATGAAATATTTGGATAGAAATTTTAAATGGAGTATTGTGTAAGCTTATTTTATGCTGTGTCTGGCCTCCAATTTACATAGACATCTGTTACAATTACTTGTTTATACTTGTACAGTCTTAAACTCCTGAATTATGGGTGTTGTTGCTTCTGTATTATACTTTAGTTGTTGATTAAGGTGTAGACAGCCCACTTACGATATTTTCTTTTGATCCTATCTTCAGAATCTGTTTTGATCTCTTTATTGGCTACTTTATTTGATTTTGTTTTATTTTGAAGTGTTAGCTGTATGTTAAGAAATAGCCATATTTTCCATTTTGGTGGATAATGCTAGTTTACTCCCTTTTTACCTTAACTTGAATGATTTGTATTCCCTCCTTGTCTCATTAAACTCTAATAAAGTCTAACATTCTTTTGTAATAGCCATAAAAGTGGTACTTTATGGTTAAATAAAGGTACTCCAGTTTTTATGTTGATGATTCAGAATGTGAAGAACTGGTTTGCCTCTTAATCATATAAATTTACCATTAATTTCATTGTGTATCTGTTCTATTCTTGAAGACCATTATGGAGGAATTGTGTTTTCTTGATTGATTGCTTAGAGAGGTAGCAAGTAGCTAATCCTGAGACGTTTTCTTCAAGGGAGCATGATTGGGCAGAGTACAAATTAAAACAGCACTATCACCCTCACAGCCATTCTTTAGCTATTGTGTAAATTTTTAGATTCCTCAGATGAGAATTTAAACTATAATTAGTTAAGCTATTAAATCATAGTGTTGTTGAACAGTATTGGGGGGGACACCTTTTTTTTGCCATATCATATAATGGAATCACTCTGTTTCTCAGCTATGTGAATATGTTTGTAAATCTACTGTCTGATACAAACTCAGAATGGAGATTTTTAGACAGTTCTAATTAAAGTGATTTTCCTTTTTTTTTTTTTTTTTTTTGATTTTCCGAGACAGAGTTTCTCTGTGGCTTTGGATTTGGAGGCTGTCCTGGAACTAGCTCTGTAGGACCAGGCTGGTCTCAAACTCACAGAGATCCGCCTCTGCCTCCCGAGTGCTAGGACTAAAGGCGTGCACCACCACCCCCGGCGTGATTTTCCTTTATCTCTTTAGATCCATAGTTGCTGAGAGGAGAAAAATTAACTGTAAAATAATGCCAATCTAGACAATTCTGTAATAAATTATTTTGTACAAAAGTTGCTTGTTTGTATCTGCTATTATTATGTGTCTATACTGGAAAATTTGGGGGGGGAGTAGAAATGTAATTATCTCAATATTTTCAAGTTTATAGAAAATGTGGTTATGATAACCACCTCCCAGATATGCTTTGGTGCCACAGCAACTGAGATTCCTTTTGGTGTTTTAACAATTTAGAAATAGGGCTGGGCATGATGGTACACACCTGATAAGACAGGTCTCTTGAGTTGGAGACCAGTATGCTCTACAGATCAAGTTCCAGCCCAATGGATATTTGTCATGAAATATTCTGGCACATATGTAATTCTTCATCTTACTATCAGAAGGACGCTGGTGACCACACTGAAAAATTACTCTGAAGGGGTGGTGCAGAAGGGGTGGCTCAGTGGTCAAGAGTACACCAAGGCCTGGGTGATTTACAACAGTCAGATGGCTCACAGCTGCCTGCAACTGCAGTCCCCAAGGATTTCACATCCTCTTCTGACTTCTGTAGGCACTTGCAATCATAGACACAAAACTATACACACAGGCACACATAATAATAAGAAAAAAATTGACTTCTAAGTATTCCCTTGGGATGATTAGGTATTTCTGAGAGTTTTGGGTGCATGCAGGTAAGATGTGTTGTGGTCAACTATGGGCCTGAGGCAACTTCCTAAACTACCTATACCTCAGCCAGAGCTGACATGTAGGTAGGGTGGGGGTGCCTGGCATTGGGGTCCCCAGGGCTGTGCCAAGATTATGGTTAACCAAATATGCCACAGAAACTCCAGTCAAGTAACCAGTTTAAAAGAGAGGTAGAGGAGAATATTGGCTGATCTCTGCATTTGTGTGTTTGTTTGTTTCTTGGCCTGCCTCTTCAGGTTCTGCCAATCTCACTGAACATACTTTCAACAGTTCTTGAACTTCAATCATAGATTCAACTAGATAACTCATACACAGACATCATCAAATGTTAGGTTGTAGTTTGGCTCTTTGTTTCTGTTGAGTATTTTGTTTTCAGCAATACAAAGGTTACATAAAAAAATGGTACCCAAGAAGTGGCTATGCTATGAGTCAACCTGACTACGTAGGCCTGTGGCTTGGGAAATGCTATAATATTGCAACCAGGATTCCTTGGACCATTCTGGTGAGGATTTAAAAGTCCAGAATACCAAGATACATAGCAGATGCCTAGTTCATGAGAGTTCAGAGGGGAACAGTAACTATCAGGAACAGAGCTGGAGACCTGTGTTGTATTCTGGCAGAGTCTGGCTGCATTTTGCCCATGGCTTGAAAATTTGGGTGAAAAGCTGAATTCAAAGTAATGACAGACTAATTTATCAGAGGAAAATGACTCCAGATGTTGGAGATGTCAGAAATGTAGATGTTTGCTGAAAAAAGCTGTGGGCTCTCAGTGAAGCTACCCCCAAGGGAGTGGTCATGTGTGCTGTGAATGGTAGGTATGGGTAAGTAGGGCTACTCAACTCTTCAGGGCTCAGGTCATGTGCCCCTGCTATCACACATGGAGCTGCAGGGCTTCATGTTTGTTCTGCTAGTGTTGAGAATTGCTCTGGTTCAGTATTCCCTTGCTATGCCTCACTTTTGCTTTTTAGACTAGGAATTCTTTTTTTTTTTTTTTTTTTTTTTTTTTTTTTTTTGCATTGATATTTTGCCTGCATGTATGTCTATTTGAGGGTGTCAGATCTTGGAGACAGACAATTGTGAGCTGCCATGTGGGTGCTGGGAATTGAACCCCAGTCCTCTGGAAAAGCAGTCAGTGCTCCTAACCTCTGAGCCATCTCACCAGCCCCTGTAACCTGCTTTTTTGATTTTACGGAAGTTCCAACTAAGACTGTCTCAAGTGTCAGAAGATATTTTAGACTTTTGAACAATATTGAGATCATTAAGACCATGGGGACTTGAAGTTGGTCTGAATATATCTTATATTACAAAATTTGCACTGTGAAATGAGAGCTCAGGATAGAATGCTATGGTTTGAATCTGAAATGTCCCCCACAGGCTGAAGTGTATGAATTCTGGTCCCCAGCTTGTGCTATTTTAAAAGCTGAGGAGCCCTTAGTTGGGGCCTGGTTGGCAGAAGTTTAGTCATTAAGCCCTTTTAAGACTATACCCATCCCTGATGTTGGCTGGGGTCTCTGCAGCTTGCATGCCATCATGAACTCCTCCACACATGTTCTGTGGTAGACTGAGATTTCTCTGAAACTATGACCTACAACAGACTCGGGTCACTATGATTAAAAAGTAGCCAACATCCTACTAATGAATCTGAGATTTTCTCCAATGTCATTTTAGCTAATGACAAAACTGAACTAAAAACCTGGTTCTTTCTCTTGGTGTCCACCACTGCTGGTCATTCTGCCTGCATGCTCCATTCCTGGTGGTATACCCTGGCTTTGACCCTCACAGGTAGCCAGGGCAATTATAGGGGAGGCATCAGCTGCTTTATGATGCTGAAGGTTCCTGTTCTTCCTGCCTGTTCCCTGCAGGACCACTTCTGACAGTACAACTTGGTGTCAAGTGTTTAAGACTTTAATGTCTCAAGTGTGTTCTTTCAATAAGAGAGCAGATTGTTGGCCTGACCTCTTCTTGTCAGTAATTTTCCTTTCCTGGTCTTGTAGATCTCCCAAACAGTGCCAAATGTATCACTGAATAATCTGCTTAGCCTTGCTAAGTGTTGGTTTTCCTATCTGTTGAATGGGAGTTAGAATTATCTACCTCTAGGATTTTTTTTTTTTTTTTTTTTTTTGTGGAAGTGAATGTAGTCTCTGACACATAACTGATGAATAAATACTTCAAATTTGTGTGCGTGTGTGTGTGTGTGTGTGTGTGTGTGTGTGTGTGTGTGTAGGCACAGATATTGCAGAAAATTCCTTTACATTGTGTGAAGATATGTCATTATGATTGGTTTAATAAAGAGCTGAATGGTCATTAGCTAGGCAGGAGGAGGTTAGGTGGGACTTCTGGGGACAGAGAGCTCTGGGAAGAAAAAAGACAGAGTCGCCAGCCAGACACAGTGGAAGCAGGATGCAGTTCAGAGTAAGGTAATCGGGCCACATAAAAGAACAAAGATTAAAAGATATGGGTTAACTTAGGTTATAAGAACTAGTTAGGAACAAGCCTAAATTTAGGCTGAGCTTTCAAAATTAATATTAAATATGTGTTGTTTTATTTTGTGATCTGGTGACCCAAAGAAAAATTGGCCTACAAACACAGGTGCCAGAGCACATGTGTGAAGGTAAGAGGACTTTGAAGTGTTGATTCTTTCTTCCTACCAGGGAGGGGTTCCTGGGATCAAACTCATTGTCAGGCTTGTGAAGCAAATGCTTTTTCCTGCTGAGCCGCCTCTCCAGCTCTAAGTATCAGTGTTTCTGATTTTCCTGGCTCAGACTCTAAACATGCCACGCTCTCCTTCTGCTGTGCTTTGTTAGCTTGCTCTTCTGTCTAGGATGCATTTTCTTACATTCTGTTCCCCAGGAAACCCCTATGGTCCAGTCCAATAGAGGAATCCTCATTTCCATATTTCTATCCCTCTTCCTCCCAGCAACATTTTCTATTGTAGTCTAGTAACTAACACATATCTATTAATATTTCAACATTCATCACAAAATAATAACCACCATCAATCAGGTGTCTTTCATGTGGCTAGTACAGTGCTCAGCCCTCTGCACATTTCCACAACAGTCAGTCCATATCACCAGGTATGAATTGGGTTGTATGTTAATTGTATGTAAGTGATGAAGTCAGTGTAGCATGGTGAGCTCTCTGTGGCTATGAACTCTAGCTTTCATCTTTACTTTGCTGCCACTTAACACAGGTTCCCCTTTCCCTATATATATTCTGGAAACGCTCGCCGAATGAATAGTGTGTTTCTTCCTCTACTTCCATCTTAACTAAAGTAGGTTGAAATTATTTTCATTGATAGGAAAATATGTAATGAATTTTGTTTCAAACAAAAGAAATAAAGATAAATAAAAGTCAGTAGTAGTAGCTGCATCACCCACTGCCAGATCTTTTCTTTTGTATTGGGCCATTACTTTTCCTTCCATCTTGTAGACTTTATTTAGTTATTTTATTTTTATTTTTTTGAGATTATTATTATATCATTCCCTTTCCCTTTCCTCCTTCCACACCCTTCCATATAACCCTCTTTGCTGCCTTTCAAATTCTTGGCCAAATTTACTAATTGTGGTCACATGTACATATGTTTATGCATATATATTCTTAAATATGACCTGCTCTGTCTGCATAATGTTACATGTGTATATGTTTTCAGGGCTGACCATTAGGTATTGGACAACCAATTGGTGTGCTCTCCCTTGGGGAAGACAGTTTCTCCAACTCTTAGCATTTCTTCATTGCCTGTAGTTCCTTATGTATACTGTAGGTTTTTTTCTCTAAAGGAAATTAGTAAAGATTGAAAAATTACAAAAATAACTAGAGAGAGAGACAAGTATGATTTTATAAACTGTGACCACTCAAGAGGAAAAGCTCAGAAGTAACTCAGGCAAAGAATAAAGAGATTCCGTTGTAACACTGATTACAGTTGTTGGTAGTTTACCAGCTAAGACTCATGGTTTAATCAATTAGAAGACTCAAGATTCTTAGGATGTACTAAATGTTTATAAGAAGCACAACTGAAGCTAAATTTTAAGCTAATAGAAATAGACCAATAAAACAGGCTAAGAAGAATGAACTAACCAGAATGAAGTAGTCCAAACCAAACTTATGCTAAACATGATAAGATGATGTAGCCATTATTGAATTCCCTGTGTTCACTGCTACAAAGTTTATCAAGTTGTTCCAGTCATAGAAAGTCAAAAGACAGAAAATTTTACACAGACAGAACCCACATTTCTTATAGAGGGAAAAGAGAGCAATTACCGTCAAATTTCTTTCCAGAAACAAAGAAAAAAAGGTAATGTAAATTATAATGCTTAAAGAATTGAAAGAAAAGCCAGTCTAAAGTTTGGTATCCAGCAAAAGCTGTGAAGAAAAG